CTTACATATCTTCTCTATACGTATCTGATGAATAGATACATCGAAGAAAAAGAAAAAATGTAACAAAATTTGACAATCTTCCTCTTTAAATTTGTACAAAAGACATTTTTATAATTAAACACAAAATAGACTTCAAATTTCTCACTCATTATCAGTGGACGCAAATGAAACATTTATTTGTTATTAAACATTTTGCGTTCACTGCCCATTATACATTTTGTGATTTTGTATTTGATTTTGTAGAGTTTTACTGAATTATTTCCGGAGTCCAAGGCGCAATACCAATTAAATTAATATGAGAACACATGGGAGTTGAGAAAATTTGTTCCTGAATGAGGGAGTACTGAGGTAACAAACAAAAATAATACAAACGAATTAAGAACCATATTTTGAAGTCGGTTAAAAATGAGGTGTATTGCACTAAACAATCGGCTTGCAACTAAAATATAAGGTGCGTAATGTACTAAGTATTAATGTTATGTTTATGATAGGGATTACTATCGTTTTGCAACACCGAAATAAAATGTTACAAATGAACCTTATAAACCTTGTATTTGTTTTAATTTTATTTTCCTTTTTTTTAAAGCCGCAATCACAAATAAAAAATCCTCAAAGTATCCTTGAACCAATGAAAGTAGAATATGATATTGTGTCACGTAACTAAATAAAGAGACTGCGCGGGTCAACTTATTGGCTCGAGACGAAGATAAACACGTTGCACTGTTACAAATAGAGCAACGTATCGACGGAAATATATATAAATATCACATTTTAATAAGTACAATAAACAGTAATAATGAGATTAATAAAACTTGTCTCATGCATAAAGAATAACGCACCAATAAAATTGCTACTTCAAATCTGCATATTTCCCGAGTTTGACTCATATTTCATTCCATTATACTGTATGTTTATTTAAATAGCAATTTGATTAAATGAAACTATTTTATCGATTGTATCCCTTTTTTATATTATAGATTCAATTAAATTTATTATACATATAATCATGTAGAATATTCGCGTAAACACAAGAAATATATATAATAAGCGAATTATTTAACACTATAATTGCTTTAACTGAAGATATGTTTTAGGACATTTTAAGACACATCTTCAGTTAAAGCAATTATAGTAAGTAGTAAGTAGCATAGCACAATTTATCCAAATTTAAATTATCATACTAATATTGGAGTAACAGTTTATATTATGTTCATATTAAATTTTTCTTTGCAGCCATGGAGTTGTACAGTGCTCACAAAATACTCAAGATTTTCTCAATATGAAACTTAGCGTGTGTATTCATGTCATATATTTTTAAATTTCTCATGTGTCTCAAATTTAGACGACTTTATTGCAGTTCAAAACCGATAAGTGCGTATTCTTAGAGATCCCGCCTACCAAGCGTCTATTTGCGGCCATATCGTCGCACGGTCAACGTAACCTCAAATCTAGAAATGCCGCACCACAAACCCAAAATAAGTTTAATACTCTCCACTAACTCCGTTGAAGAAATACGACAAAATTCCAAACATAATTATAATAATCTTAATTTGCGAAGCAATTCGTACTTTAGTGGAGTCAGTTTATTTTATTAACATAGATAAAGGCAACATGAACATAATGCATCAAATGATAACAATACATTTTATCAACGTGTTGTTACGTTCCCCACAAATATTTTTAGACTGCTGAAAGTAGTTACCATATGGATAAAAGTTCAAAATCAATATGGCAAGAATGGTTTTTAATGTTTCAAAATTAATTAGTTAATATATATTTTTGAGTGTTTTGAAATAGTATAGATTATTTCTTTGAAATATTTTAATATTTGTCTGTCTTTAACAGTAGTTGATAAATATATTTCTGTAAGTACAGTAAATATACATACATTCGCAAAACTACTAAATCAACAAATACGAACTATTAAAACAAACAAAGTTCGCACAAAAATACAAATAAACATCAAAACGAGGAATTTTTAATGTCATATTATATAATAAAATAATGTTAATTTTTTTAAACAATTTTACTATTTTCACTATTCTCAATTGACTACGAAGGATCACGAATCCATCGCAGTCAATTGAGATGAATATATTATATGAGTCTTGTGTCGACTTAGCAAATCAATCAAGATCTGTAAAGTGGGACATTGTTGTTGAAGTCAATAAAACTCGACCCTTAGGTATGCCGCTTATGTAATAAATAACTCTGATATAAATGATAAAAATAATGTTATGATCATTTTATTGTGTATGTACGTATACACATATATTATTTTTTTGTTAAAAGTTGACAAGCGAGTAGACGGTTCACCTTATTTTAAGTAAATTCTCTACAACACCAGACTGGTTGTAGATGCATTGCTATAATAAAATTAAACAAGTATATCACTCAGTATGCATTTTCTATTTGATTTTGAGGAGTTACCTGATGTACCTGATGCCCAAAATCCAAAAAATTATATGCGAGCTAAAACGAAACCAATGGAAAAAGATTTTTATAATCGGTTCATTAATAGCGGACTTATGAGGTAAAACAAAAAAACAACCGAATCGAGAACCTCCTCCTTTTTTGAATTCTGTTGAAACGTGATTTTAGATAGAGCGTGATAGCTCAGTGTCCGGGCGCTCGCCTTTAATTCAATATACTCGAGAAACCTGAGTTCGATCCCCGGTGCCGGCACCAATGAAGTTTTTAACTTTAGGTGCTGACTTACCACGTGCTCCGCGGTGAAGGAAAACATCGTGAGGAATCCTGCATATTTTCGAAATAATAACAAAAAAATATATATTTCGAAGATATATGAAGTCCGCCAATCCGCAGTGAGGCCGCGTGGTGGACTATGCCCAGATACCCTCTGTATAGAGGAGGCCTTTGCCCAGCAGTGGGACATGTATAGGCTGTTACTTTACTTTACTTTATGTATAATTTTATATCTTAATATGCATGGTGTAATTTATATATGCCTGATGGTCTATAACATTCGCAACCAGTTTCTGAAATTTTAAGTTTTTAGTTAATTTCTACGATGGTCAGTGTTTCAGAAACCGGGCGTTAGTGTACAAATAATAAATACTCCCTTTTATGATGAGCAAACAGAGCAAGCCCTTCATAACATATATAAGAATTTGAATTATTTCTGTATAAAAAATGACATCTCGGTAATTTTTTATACAGAAATAATAAAAAATGACCGAGATGTCATTTTTTATACAGAAATAATAAAGAAAGGGAGGGAAAGAAAATGGACGATTAATTTATGTAATTTATTAAACGATTTTATTTAGCTCGACACGTACGGAATTATTTTATTAATTATACGGTCAAAATTAGAAATTGAAATTTAAGCACCTTCCCGTTGTCAGATTGATCTTAAATTTGGTACACACATTTAACTTAGATGACAATACAATATTGTAGTTTTCAGTGCACATAAAATAAAACCGTTTAACTTTAAAGTTTTTAAACGGTTTTATTTATTCACATGAGTTTCAGAATATAAATTTCCCAAAGAAAATAGAAAATATTGCGGTTTTAACTCAAATATTTATTCGAATTATTGAATATTGATTTATTTGTTTATTGGTTTGAATATTAAACTTATAAAAACAAGGTATTTACAAAGTAAGCTTAAATATAAGGTGTTGTACGTATTTCAATTCCAGTTAAACTAATCTTTTTATCATATGTTCAACAATCTTATTTTAGATGTGGCAGGGTTGTCGCAGTTGCTGAGTTATTGGCTTTGAGGCATGGGTTCCATTCCTCGGAAAATTAATTTCGGCTTGCTGGTTCAAAACATGGGGCACAGGTGAGAAATTTATCATAAAGTGGAATCAACATATAAAGTATATACTTTAAGATATGTCTGTTTAAACAAGAGTACAAATAAATAGTTTGAGTAATCTATTTATATAGTATCTATTTTTTATCTCTACTTTAGTCGTCGATTCGCTTAATCCTACATCGATTGTCTCATTAGGTATCTAACTTATTTTTTAATTCGATGCAAATCTGGTATATACTATTTTACCTGTCGAGAAAAGTATGTAATTATAAGGATAACTCATGTCCTTAATAAGTAATTTTACATTCTTATAAATATATTTTGTGGAGAATGAGCTGAACCCTATAACTAAGCTTTATGGTTTGGTTACAAGAAAAATCGCGAGATAAAAATGAATTTTGTACTTTATAGATATGCATAAATCTAAGTTAGTATAATTATGTAAATACATCTAAGTCATATAATATATTTCGAATTTTTTCTAATCTTACATTTACATTGAATATTATCATTTGATCAAAGCTTTTATCAATCAAACAAACCGCGGCTCATTTAATAACGCATTTTCAAATATTTCTTTTTTTGTACAATTGATGTTACGCTTTCAGTCCTTAGACTATTAAAGCTTCATCTAATGCAGAACTGGTGGGCTTAGCCAGAACCCACGAGTTTGAGGCCCTCCTCAGTGGGTAGGGCTACATGCGCGGCACTCGTGGGTGCGTTAACAATATTTCTATAACCGCCTATTTCAATTCAAGTCTCCTAAATATCCCTAATTCAGTATTAAAAACCATAGAATATCATAGAATATGATTCAAACATCATTCAAACGACTCCTACTTATTTGAATAAAAGTGTCTTGAGAAAAATAAAAAATATGAGTTGGTGAATGGGAAGTATTTTCATACTCGAAGGAATAAATTGTACAAAGTCATTGAGGACAATTGTCTAGTCGACGTTTGCAAGGTCTTACGCTCTTGTTCTTCATCTCCAACGGAACAGTATCAACACATTAGATATTTAAAACGATCTTCTCTATTATTATTGTACTAACAGTTCTGTCTGAATTCGGGAAACTTATGCATTAACATTTTTTACAATACAACTTGCAGCGTATGTCTTAAAAAAATATATATGTCTTAAAAAGAAATTAATCTCACCTGTATTATGCTTTTCCGCAATTTTGTTGACGGTAGCCGCGGAATCGTTAACTTCGGCCATGTCTTTTTCCCCAAAAACACCTGAAAAATAACTTTCTAATTTTCATATGTACAATCTCAGACTCATATTATATGAAATCTTTATATTTATATTTACGTAATCGAATTTTACATACATATATATAAAGAATATATAATACTTAATGTATTACTCATAATGGTACTAATTAGCTCATTTATAAAAGTTATTGCGCATTACATGCTAATTTACAATATTACTTTAGCTAAACCTTTATTATCTTTCAATTTATTCCAGTAGCTACTTGAAATTTTCCCGCGTTACAACTGTGAATTTGCTCACCTGAAAATCCGTATTAACTGATAACAACAACACGTTATCACTGATTACTCACACGTAAACACTACCGACAACTAAACGAACGCAGCGTACACTCACTAGTCGCGCCAAGATACACTGAATACTGGCTTTGTGTTTGTTGTACGAACGAGACGATACGGTCTTTGGCAGAGATAGAGACAGTTAATGTTGCTAGAGTTCAACCGGCAATATTCCTCACTTTGTATAAGACAATTAATTTATAAAATCCCATTATTTTTTATTTGTAATCAAATTTTATAAAATTTAAGTGTCGTGCAAAATTTACTAATGCAAAAAAGAATCAATAAAATAGTACTAAAATGTAAGTATAGTGGTATCATGACACAAAATATTTATTTTACTGACATACATTTCATGTAATAAAAAATTTCAAGTAACGAAAAAAACGTAAATAACCAGGCCGCGAATGCCGAAGACCTGGGTTCGATTCCTACAGCGGCGACAATCTTTTCGTAATTTTTCTACATATTTTAATGTTAAATCTTAAGTGCAAAGATTAGCACTATAAACAATTGAAATTACGTAAATAACCCTTAAATTGGGAATTTTTTCCACACACAATTATCATGTACAGCTTCACACTTATTAAAACACGAACACAGCCGAAGTTACCCGAACGTTTTATTATGCCGCGAAAGAAGTTATGGGCCATTTTCTTTTGTGTTCCAAAAGAAGGTACAATTTGGTAAATGGTGTCGCACTTGTTCTGAAAAAATTTAAAACTGCGATGCCTAATTCTGTTTAAGATTTCACTCGTTTATGATATTTAAGTAATGGCATTTGCTAAAAACTGGCTATAATAAAAACTAAAGACTTCTTCAATAATTAGGAAGACTTCACACATGTAGGTATCTTTGAAAAAAATCTTTCAATCATTTGTAAAATATGCATGTTACTCATGATGTTTTCCTTCACTGTTGATCACGTGATAAGTCAATTTGGGTATTTAAGATCCCGATTTGCATAAAGGTCACCTTTGTAAATCAATGATGTACCACAATAATGGGCCACCCATAATTTGTGCATTTCATAATGCTACTTGATGCTTGTTTAGCAAATCACAGTGGTTTTTGAGTACAGTCAAGGTACTATTTAATGACTCGACGACCCCATTGCCTTGGTGGATATTGAACATGTCTATCGAGCCAGAGGGTGTGTATAAGATCCCCACGAATTGAAAGATGTTGTTTAATATATAAAAAAATAATAAATTTTTTGTATAAAATTGTCGCTGAATTTTTCGCCAGTGCTAGAATTCGAAATCCGGCATCTTCCTTTCAACTTACGCATCTAGCCGTGCCGCTCGCTCCAGCCGTGATAGCTCAGTATCCGGGTACCTTTTAACTCAATGTACGAGCAACAAAGTTAAAATCCCGGCACCGGCACTATTGAAATCATTAATTGAAGTTTTAAGTGCTTACTTATCACGTGCTCAATGGTGAAGGGAAACATCGTGAGGAAATCTGCATATTTTCGAAATAAAAACAAAAACCACAATGCGGACTGGCAGACATCACATTTTTTCGGCACATTTTATTGTTATTATTAAGAAAATACGTAGATTTCCTCATCATGTTTTCCTTCCGTGCCAGCACCAATGAAATTGTTAATTTTTAGTGCTGACTTATCACATGCTCGTCGGTGAATAAGTAGCCCTCAGGAAATTTTATGCTCTTTTTTTTATCTTTTAGGCAGAAACTTGTTTTTTCAGGTGGGGGAGGGACACCACGATACAAGAAAGTGTTAAAGTGTTTAAATCAGATATTGTAACAGGTCTAATCCTGCGAGTTTCTAGCATTCAATGACTCATTCCAGTTTCTTAAATATTTTCAAGCTAGATCAGCTCCATTTTGTGCAGATCCTCAATCAACATACATATTTAAAAATCGTGGCCTCTGAGGAAGACAAATCTTTTATGTATTATCGCTTTATACAATGACTGTTAAAGATTACTTCTACGTTGGTAGGAAAAACCTCAAATACTTGTGGTGATTCGATTATTGAGGGACGGTGGTTGTCTTTTTTATGTTAGAAGGTAGCAAACTAGCTGGTAGTTCACCTGATGTTAAGTGATAACCGCTGCCCATGGACATTTGCAACACCCGTATTGTCAGAGTATTGCAGATGCGTTGCCACCTTTTATTAGTGGGCTCCAAGTACCTTACTCGCCAGACGAAACGTAGATGTGTAAAACTTCCACTTCACGCAGGTATTTGGTGAGGTCCTGGTACTTCCCCGGACGTGCCTGCCTATTCGTGCAACAGCAAACTGTTGCGTGGCCCTTCCACAGAACCGAGCTTCCGAGTAAATCATGTATTTTGGAAATAAAAAAGATAAAAAATAAAGAAAATGATCTGGTATAGAAAAAAAGTAAAAAAATAAGTGTGTACATGATCGTGTTACGAACCGCTGGCCGTCTATTTTGCGGCCGCCCGAGTACCGACCGAGCTATTATAACATTTTTTTTTTGCGGCCAAAATTTATTGTCATATTCGAATGATATTTTCATTCCCTGAAAACAGGGATAAAAGGACATTTTCTAAAAATGAAACCTAGCTAGATCGATTTTTCGCCTCCGAATCTACGCACATACTAAATTTCATGAAAATCGCTGGAGCTGTTTCCGGGATTCCGATTATATATATATAAAATAATTGCTCGTTTAAAGGTTATAGTATGATTATAGTTTAACTTGTTCGAATTTCTGCATACAGCTATACCGCCAGTTTTCTTTTGTGATATCAAATATCTCAAGTAAGCCGCGTGCTTCATTTACAGTTAAGTTTTTAAAAAAATGTGTTGACAGGACCGTATTCATATATTAAAAAAACATATTGTCCGACCGAGAAGAGCTCATTAGTTATGTAAAGTTAAGCGTAAATAATCAAACAAATGATAAAAATAAAGGGTTCTACTTAAATTTACAGCTTGCAAAAAACATTTTTCGACACACTTAAGAAGCTCTACAAGTTTTGCTTTTTTAATTAAATTTGTATACTTCATCATTGTTATCATCGATTTTCCTAGGTAATTGCGATGTTATAAATTATTTAATTAATATTCCCAGGTTCTTTTTGGCTCAAGCTCTACATGTGTGTGACATGAATCGTGTTACTATTAAATTGTTTAAAAATTACTAGGAGTAATTTATAATTGCCATAACAATTTATATATATTCTATCACATTTTTTAATTTCAAAAGCCATTATCACTGTGCAAATTCGTCGTGAATGACGTGAACTTTTCAAAGTGCGATTGAAGACAACACACGGCTGAAATTTTAACAATTTATTATAAAATAACTTTCGGTATTTAGTGTTTTGTCGTTATAAATGTACTTAAGTAAATAAACAATAAAAGTTTTTTTTTTTCTTTCAAAAAGACACGTACAAACGCGCGTTCACAGTACTTCCTTTAATCTTACTTTATTATGTACAGTCGGGCAGAGAGTTGTACAAAAATGTTATTACAATGATGTTCTCGTATAAAAATGGGGTGGTCCGTATCTAAGATGGCTCGTACGGGGTGCGGTAGGGCAGGGCCGCTTAGCTTTCGGCCGGAGCGGCCGCCGCGGTCGGTGGTGTCACTTTTTTGTTGCACAATCTTTGAAGGAAACCTGCCGAGAAAATACAACGTTATTGTTCAAAATGCATAAGCAGCTACAGTCAATTAGTCGGTGTATAAAGTTCTTCGACCAGTTTCTTTTAATTTATAGACAAGCGATAGAGTATGTGGAATCACTTTCCATAATTAAAAGCTTGTTTTTATCTGATTATGCGGCATTGTTACATTAAGCTATGTTTAATTAGAATTGACGAAAACGTGTTATTTATAGTAAGCATTTATTTATTTTATATTTATTTTTAATCAGCCTCTAGCCGTTTATTGCGAAATAATTTTATTCCAAAGAAAATATCATATTAGGTACATATTTTTTAGTCCAATGATTTGAAATAGATGATAATTTTATAGTACAAGTAAGCAATAAATTTAAAGTGTTAAAAATTAACAAGATGAAATATTAATAGAAAAAAAATAGAGTTCGCACGATCTGAGAGAAAGCATTGCACAGAACGCGTAATGTGCACTCGCTAATACAATTCACTTACGATCTTATAACTAAAGATTTGACGATACTTGCGACCTTCTACGCCATAACCTTCTTCAGGAATGCTGTAAACGGACAAAATGTAAGACACGGGGGCACACACATAATAATTTTGTAACGAGTCATGCTTACAACAAACATATCTATATACAGGATGGCTTTTCTAAAGGTGCCCAAAAAATAATTGAGTTGCCTATAGATCACGCACTTGAGATAAGTTAAAATGAATGTAATTAATTAATTACGAGTGATTTTAAATATTTATCATTTTTTATATAACATATTTAGGTCTAGAATTAAAAAAAAATGGATACACTTAGAAAAGCTTCCCTGTATATCTACATGATGTTGTCTCCTGAAGGGATTACGAATAATTTACAAAGACTGGTTCAGGCTCCTTTAGGGAAACATATGGAACCGAAAAAAGGCTAGGATTTTTGACATGCGTTGAGCTAAAGAGATGCTGAACGTTAAAATTTAACATTTAAAAAAATTCCTATTACTTAAATACTGGACTATTCAGCATTTCTTTTTTAGGAAATGTTCACGACGTATATAAACAATAGATAAAATGAAAAAATACTCGAAATATACATATCTGTGTATATTAACTCAAATAAGGGACAAATTGTTTAAAAATACACATTTCGCTTATCAGACATTTACACATTTGAGATTTAACATACATATATGTAGGAGTAATAAAATTCCCCTTTGCAACTATACTTACATGCGTATGGGATCATGCCGTCTTCGTCTTCGGGGTCCATGCAATCCTTTGTGACTTCCGCAACTTCGTTGTCTTCAAGTTTCTCACCTAAAAAACATATGATCTGTATAATTGAAATCGACCATGGAACATAGTTATAATCAGATAATGAGTTATTACCAAATCTTAAATGCTTTAATACCGTTAGGTTCCGATTAGAATACAGTTTTAATTACAACATATCGTAATGTGAGTATTTTCACCAACTAATTTAACTCTATTATATAATACGCCCCATATATTGTTTAAATAAACTATGGGTGGCTTATTATAAATTCTAATCTTCAAAAGTTAAATTACTCTGTTAGTCTAAACATTTTTTATTCATCTTTCGAGACAGCCACGAAGCACGATTCTGAGCTATCTGCATCCTTCGACTTCCCGCATACTTGTGCAGATCGTCATTTCATCTAGTGGGTGATCATCCTACACTGTGTTTTTATTGCAAAAGCAAGATATATAATAGATTATAACAATAAGCTAAATTCAGCGTAGCTTTGTAGAGCTACGTCATGGTAGAGCTACGCAGTTTCTATACATGACTACCGGTCTCACAGGAAACTAGCATGAAGAGTTTTTAATTTTTTATCTGGTGAGTAACATAAACGAAAGTCTACCGTGTTAAAGACTGCCAGTACACCGTCCATCCTTTCAGCGCACGAATGTCCATTGACAGGGTTACTTAAAATTTTTGTTTGAAAAAAAACTGTGACTACTTCTTTAAAGGTTAGCAATGCTTTTTCCACCCGTCCGGTGTTGTAGATGTCCATAGGCGGCGGTAATCAATGAGCATCAGGCTTGCCAACTTTTCACATAAAAAAGACTATTGTTACCTAACGCAAGGAGGGTGTGTGTCAGCTCAGCTCCGAGCATAAGACCATTCTCAGCCTTGTCGTACAGCTTCAGACATTCAAGGAAGTCTTCGTAGCAACCCTGGTCTTTGTCTTTCTTGCACTGGCTGTAGATGGGAAGGAACTCCTCGAGCTAGAACATTAAAAAAATTATATTTTTCTGTTTCTTCATGGGCTATAACTGGAAAATCAATGAATACTTTAAGTTAACACGTAAATAACAACGACAAGAAACTTATGTCTATTAAAGTGTTAACCTAAAGTTGTAGGTATTGCTACATTATCTTCTAAACAGAAAAATATCTAAAAATAGTTCACGCGAATACTACACACTATAAAAAATCGAATTTACGGAATTTTGAACTTTAAATATGCTTTTAATTTCTAACGTTTGGAACGCTAAAGAATCTATATCACATATAATCACGGGACAGAGTGGCACTGTAAAATGGCTGTGCATAAGGACTCGTGTAAAGTGTTCGGAACTTCGGATATCGGGAATGATTATAAGTAAACGGGCAAAAACCCGTGAATATATCAATTAAACCAAAATATACTTAGTCTTTAATATTAAGTAAGCATAAAACATTTAAATTTTTTTATCATATGAAAATAGGAAAGGATTATAATTTCTTGTATTCACGCGATTAAACATTACTAATTGGAACTATGTTAATGGACTTATCGCGTTTATATTTGGTTTTAATTCCCGACGTTTCGAACCCTTTACATGATAGGATTACTATTTGAGGATAGTAATTCTGCTTTATAACAAAAAATACCGTAAGCTGCTTCTCGCCCTTCTTCTTGGTGCCGCCGAGTTTCTCGATGGTGGCAAGAGTGGGGTTAGAGTTGAGCGCCCTCAGAATGTCGCCGACATTGTACGCGTCGATTTTGCCGTTGCCCTCGAAGTCGTAGATGGAGAAGGCGAAAGATGCCCCTAAACGAATAATTAATTGAATTTGCCGATAGAAATGCTACCAAAGCGTAGTTCAGCCACATCTATCGCCATAAATACCAAAGTAAATCAATACTTTATTTTAATTTTTTTCTCAGAAACTATCTTGAATTAAAAATATTCAAATATATAAAAAACTATAAAGTTGATGGTTGTACACCAGCAGTTCTACAAACGTGAAAAAATATTAATATTTTTAAATTTACTGTTAATTTTTTATTAATTATCCGTCGTAATATAAAGAATTCAAAATCACCACTATCGACTTGAAAAATAAAACTAAAAGAAAATAGCAACACCAATAATTCCAAAAAGTCCCTTGATATTTAACTAAAATAGGTGATACGTGGTGTAGGCGTGCCCAGAATAATCCTGTTCCTGACGTTTCCATATGTTCATTGTGAATAAGTGAGTCACATTCTAATTATATCATCGTCCCAGTTTTGTTCTGTATCTAAAAGTCGCACGTGTGTATTTATTTGTGACAGATATCCCACAGCAGATATATATCTTTAAAATTGAAACCTTGAAACAGCTTCGTAGTAAATAAATCGAAACTCATCTGCTTCTTTTTATGACTCACTCCAGCAACACCAAACAATTTAACTTTAAAATAAGAAAACGTGATGAAAAAATTATATTACTTAGGTATTATTGATACAATATAAAATACATTTAGGCAGATTTTATCCAGCGTCATGCAAATCCAGCAATCATGTTACTTAAGTCAGGTGTAGTCCCATTTATTGTTATTATCGGTGCGAGCGATCGTTTGCCAAAAATCGGTAAGCGCGCGCGCACTGAAATCCGAGCGGAGTTTCTCGGTTTGGGCGGGCGAGTGTTGTATCACGTGACGCAACGGTTTAAATTTGGAATGGCGCGCGCTTACATCGTTCGGCTGCGCAACTGGCGCCGACACCGGCATTACTTAGCAACGCGGACCTTTTATGACAATCTGCGCTATACATAGAAGTTTTGAAAACATGCTACTTTCATATAATTATCTTTAACCATGTGTAAAGAAAAGCGTTTAACCGCTGCCTTAGATGAACTTTCAAAATTGATTAGAGATTTAAAGCTGTAACCTGAGCAAACAGTCTTGCCAATATATTAGTACCGAACGAATTAAGTAAAAAATAAGTAAAAAAATATTAATTCCTTTGCTAAAATTTACTCAAAATAGGCATATGATGAAAATGATTAATTAAAGGTAAAATACTCACTTTCGATGTCGTTCTTGCTGAGGTCGCTCTGAAAAATGATTAAAACATTTCGTTATTCTCATGATACAACTGTACCGATATAATGGTGTGTGAATTTGTTTTGTGTTGCGTCACGTCACTGCTGGTGTGTGTAGGAATTTATCCAGAATATTCGATACCATAATACTCTTTCACTGTCTTTAAACACATCACTGTTAAGTCTCGCTAAAGTACGTTGAGCTCGCGAGCTTCCGGTCTGCGGAATTTGTATCACGAGTTGTTACCGCGACTAGCGTCACTTGAAATTTATAAGTAACTATGCATTCTGCACTGAACTCCATTTCACGGTTCCACTGGTGTCAGGGTTGACTCACCATTTTGTGTGGTGTTAGTTGGTTCCCTCCCGGTCTTCACTGGCAGACGTTCAGACAAGAAGTGGGGCTCGGGAACTTTTCGCTTGACTGTTTTAACTTGCTCAGATGGCGCTCCCGTCTGGATATTTGAGATTTAGCCCAGGAATCCGCGACCGTTCTATTTTCGGTGAGGTAACGTCCGTCTCCGTTGCGTCTTCGGTCGGCGGGTGTTTGCGTGCGTGCGAACGGGACGGTCAGCTATCTGGTGTCCAGTCCGCGAGCGACGAGCGAAGCGAATCGAAACGTTAAATCTACATTTACGCTAACTATTTCCATCTATTCCGTATATAATCTCGAATCTAAGGTGGCAACAGGTATTGTAAGTAGGTGTGACATCCCACGATGGTTTCAAGTTTTATAATTTTTTTTAATTTCTACGGTCTGCTTTCTGGATGGAAAAAATACCTACGGAAATTAAATACTTTAGATTTCTCGCTACTTTTCCAGAAATTTGGGTTTCTTTTTATAAAACGCTTTACAGAAAACGTAAATTAGGAAGACAGTACTTTTATACTTTTCATCATTAGTATTTAATGTTAAAGAAATTAAAGCATCATTAAAGCAGAAAATTCAACGTTCACACGAATAATACGTTCACAATTATAATACGTTCACAATTAAAGCGCCTAGCACAAATAGATATTTAAACATTAAGTTAGAATATTTATGACTTTATTAATTGCAAACCTTTATGTTTATGGACAAAATCACGAACAAAATGCAACACCAAAATGAAGAATGAACCAGGTTCAAATATTTCCATAGTCACTACAAACAAGTATGATGTTATTCACAATTGCAATAAATGTCACATACGGATTACACCATTGGGTTTAACTTGCACGATATATCAGGCAATTATAGGAAGCTACAAGAAATTGTGGACTAATTTTTAACTTATCACGTTATTTGTAAGTAAACAAAAAACCTGTAAATAAACTTTTTATTTGACAAAAACATTACATTAACCGTTTCATTATAAATAGTCGAAAATGTTATCCACGTTACCACTTTTGCTTTGGAGATTTTTCCTATATTTATACTAAGTCATTATTTTACATGCAAATAATGCAATATTACTCAATCAACGTGGATTATTTTCGTGTCTTAATAGTAAAACGTAGTGGCTACATTCTCTTAGTTAAATTGTGCTTAAATAATGACTCACGTGTTAATGGCGAAAATGAAGAAACATACGTGGGATGTTCCAGAACTTTCTATTAACAGCAAAAATAGTATTTGAGATTATTTTACTTTATTTAAAAATATATTTTACCTTCATTTTATCCATGTATTTATTTGACTACAATCTTGAACACGTACCCTTTTTTATAATCTTACATCATCGCACAGTATTCGATGCACTCTGTCTAATCAGACGTTCGACGTCTTGTCATAAATAATGTTTTTTTTATGTGAAAAGTTGCCAAGCGAGCAGGTGGTTCACCCGATGTTAAGTGAATACCACCGCCCATGGACATCTACTATACCAGAGGGTTTGCTGATGCGTTGACAACCTTTTGACAACAAATTGGCCTCCGGCTACCTCACTCACCAGACGAAACGCGGAAGTATTATACTTCCACTTCACGCCGGTTTTAAGCCGGTAAAAGTATGTAGTTATGTTGTGAACAGCTTTTTCAGGATTCAGGAGGGTAGGTTATAAATGAAAAATATCAAGTAATAACTCATTTTGTAAGAAATTTTTAAACAAAATACATATAGGTATTTGTTATAAGAATTTTTTTTGTATTTCTTTAATAGTAAACTAGTAAATTTTGTACTACACCTTGTGCATAACATTGTGTTTTCCAAAGTTGTGAATAATATTGATGGCAAAATTTATCGTCATATATTTAAAGAATTTATTACACATTACTGTCAATTATTGACGACATCATATTAGTTATCACAGTTCGGTTTCATCTCAAAAGCGTACTCGTTCCATTGAGCCGAATTGACCATAGCTTCGTTGATGGTGTTGAATTTCCAAACAGGACAGCGTGACGGCGATGGGGAGCGCGCGAGGCGGTGGTCCATGAGGCTGGCCGCACGTTGTTTCGCCGACGGTGTAAGCGGACATTGGCCCCTAACGGTGCCGGGTAAACGGGGCTCCTGTAAACACGTGAAATTCAAAATTTGAAAGACACCTGTTTCGTTGAGATTAGGTACTAGTTAATATCTCGATCTGCAGCATGCTTGTCGAATTCAAATATCTTTATTCAATATAGAACATACACTAACTTATTGATTGTTAAATCGCTACCACCGGTTCGGAAAAGAAAGGCCACCGACGTGAGAAGAACCGGCGAAAGAAACTCCGTGGGACATTTTTTTACCAATATTTTACAAAAAGAGAATTTATTATAAAACATCAGTTAAAGTACCGTAAGTTTTTATGTAACGAAGATAATAATTCTAATATTGGTATCGCCAAGAGCTAGAATGTTAAGTACGTTTTAATACCATTATTAGTAATGTAGTAGTACTCTCCGTACCTTGCGTCTCCCAGGCAGCTTACGGCGCCACCACCATCCTCTTAAGCAGGACAAAAACCTGGCGCCTTGCAGGCGACATCGACGAACGATTCCACTTTTACGAGAAATTGTTGACGGAGATACCGCAGAGGTAGCTGCTAGGTCTTTGTGTTCCTGACAATAAAACAGTTAATGATCTTATCAATTCGAGCACCAAACATTATTTAAGCCAACATGGTACTACATATTGAACTAAAAAAATGTCGGATTCAAAAAATCCAAACAAACCTCTATTAAATAGTAAAATAAAACTAGTTCGTTTAGATATAGTAAGAAGATAATAGAATTCAGCTATATAAGATACAAAGAAGCAAATGACGACAGTCTAAAGAATGAGAATTGTCGCACAATTTTTTCAACTGTGGTCAATTTTACTGAAGATGTGTTAGTAGCGGAAAGTTCCACTTCCTGTAGAGCTAAAGATTTCAAATCCTGTTGCACACATTCCTCCTCATCCGAATATTGTTCGTAATCTCCTGCAATAAAGTGTTTTATAAAAACTAAACTTGAATATGTTATACATATTTTACTGTTTTCATTTACGAAAAGCTTACTGTTCAGTGTCACATAAGCATTCTCATATACTGCGACATCCTTGGGTTGTATATTTTCATTGGCAATATTAGTCTGAAAATTTTTAACTACTGAATAAAACTATACATACATCAATTTAAACTCTCTGATTCCTAAATTGATTATTCAAAATATAGCATCCTGGTAAAATCTGATGCAGGTCTTTCAAAGACACTATTACACACGTATCATAAAAATAAGAAATCGAGACATAACATATGCCTCAAGTAACTGCCGTAATTAATGTTTGTTTATCAACATTATGATGGCACTAAAATCCAGGAATAAGTTATTCGACAATAGTCGATTAAGGATAATGAACTATAGTAGCAATATAACCATCGGTGTATATTATCATAAAGTTACATAAATAAACGAATGATCATAGTAAATAACGTTATCGTTACCGCTTTATTTTCGTCAAAAGAATTTTTTTGACCTTCAGCCCCACTACAAGTTGCAACATCATCGTCGATATAAAATGCTCTATTTCTTGCAAAATCATTCGAGTAAGCATCATCTAAAAGTGAATAGCTAGAATGCCCACTAATCTGCGATTTTCCAATTTCCTCAACTAAATTACATTTCTGTATTTCATTAGAAAAAGTAACGCCAACAGCAGCCTCAATACAAGATTCCACGATATTAAACATTTCTTCATATAATAAGTAATTAGGAGTTATTTCCTTTTGGGTAATGTTCGCATCATCAAGTATGTATTCCACATCACTCATATCAAATAAACGATTGATAAACGTGGATGTTGATCGATTTAAATCGCTCTGCTCTTGATAATCATTCCGCCCCTAAGAAAAAAAAGAAGTTAATATTTTTTTTACTAATAATCTAATTTATTTACTTCGCATAGAAAATGAAATACTAACAGTATAAATATCTTCATCGCCTTGTCCTATAATGTACGCGTCTGTTTTTACATTTCTTTTAACAATATCTGCAAGGTTAAAAACAGTGTTACAAAACCACAACTGCATTAAACTAATCACAATTTTATTTAACTTGTATAGTATTCTTTACATTATATAACCAATTAAAAATTGTTGAAAATACCCGAGGATTTCTGTGGTGTAGATGTAGTCATTGGATTTGATTCCTCTTTGATATTTATATCATCAAGTATCACCCATTTCTACGGTGAATGTTAAATTTTCATTACCTAGTTTATCCCACGTGTCATTACTTATTTTTTTTGCCCTTGTAACTTGATGCCAAGGTTGTGCTAAAATTTAAATATTTTAGCATTTAGTGGTTATCACGCTTATTAATGTTAAAAAGTGATGTACAACTGGGTTATTGACAAAGATCATACCGAATTCTTTGGCCGCATTTACAATGACGCATGCTTCATCCAAAACTTGACCCACGAGTAACACAGCTAGCTTCGTCGTTGCTATTTGTGGGCTTCTATCAGCGGTTTCAACGTTTTCTTGTACAAGTAAATATCAACCAAAATATTTTAATAAACTCCCTAAATTTTAATATTGTGATTTTTCTCAACAACTTCTGCTATTGCATATACGAATCAATCGGGGAACATTTACGTTTTGTCCATAAGTGAGGTAATCGATGGCCTTTTTGAAACTTGTCAACGTAGGTTCAAACACTTATAATTTTTCGGACGTTCTTGAACGATGGTTATCACTTAACATCATTTATGATTGATGTGTAGCGTTTTCTAGTTTTTCATCTCAATTATATAAAAAAATACCAAAATATTTTATTAAAATATGATCGAGGATGATATTCACAAATACAAAAATTTTTAATCGATAGTGATATGTAACAATTGAAAATATTAATAGAGAAATTACTAATAAAAGAAGTACCTATAACTCTCTCTTTACAATTACTTAAAGGTAAGCATAAAACTCGCTCTTATTTAAGTATTTTAGGTTAATATCTATATAATTTGATAAAATAATACAATTAAAAGATATGCTTTAGAAAAAATAAATTCTAACAAATTACATAAAAAATTGGATATTGTTACCTTTATTTGTCATAGTGCAACTAGCTATAAACAAATTTGATATGCAACGGCAAATGAAATCTAAAGACATAATATGTTAACTTTTTTAAATTTCGGCCAGAATTAATTTTCAATGGTTACCTTTTTTGTCCTTTTAGTATTTTTATAAAAATCTTTGATAATCTTATCCTTTAAACGAGCAATTCTTGTATATATATATATATATAATCGGAATCTCGGAAACGGCTCCAGCGATTTTCATGAAATTTAGTATGTGCATAGATTTGGGGGCGAAAAATCGATCTAGCTAGGTTTCATTTTTAGAAAATGTCCTTTTATCCCTGTTTTCAGGGAATGAAAAATATAATTCGAATATGACGGTAAATTTCGCCGCAAGAGAAAATGTCAAAATAGCTCGGTCGGTAATCGGGCGGCCCCAATACAGACGGCCGTGGTTCGCGTCACGATCATTTACACATTTATTTTTTTACTTTTTTTTCGATTCCAGATCATTGCTTTCTTTATTTTTAATTTTTTGTTGATTTGTTATTTTGTTATTTTTTTCCCTGTTTTTTTAAAGTTCTTTCTTTTGTGAAAAACATCAGTTCATATTTTCTTATTATTACGTCGGTAAGATCGAAAAATATTATGCATATTTCATTACTCAATAATTTGTATCTAAATGTAATTTCCAAAATACACGATTTACCAAAAAAAAAAACAAACCAACAGGTCTTCCGGGTACTACCTCGTTTATTGAACCAATTATTTACCGTTCATAACATAATATATATAAACAATATCATAAGTACTTTTGCTTTTATTATCATATAATATATACTACTTTATGGAGACTTTTGACGGCTTAAAAGTCGAGACATGATCACAAGAGACAAAAGACTTCCAACCCTTTGCAATTGTGTAGTTTGCTATGAAAATTTTATAAATACAGACATTCAGCTTTTCGCCCGCGGCTTCGAAGTCCTTAACAACACATTTTTCCAATTAAAAAATAGCCTATGTTCTTTCTCAGACTATCTGTGTACAGAATTTCATTTAAATCGGTTCAGTTAATTTGGAGTGAAAACGAGACAGACAGACAGACAGTTACTTTCGAATTTATAATATTAGTATGGATAACATATATATAAAGTATCTTGTAACAAAATTGTGCATAGCTAACATAGACAAGTTTACGTGAAAAGCATTATTCATACAAAACGCCGATGCTATTTCTGTAACGCTCAACCAATACCAATGCGATTCTTTAACCTCGAGCTATTTTAGCAAGCTTCTAGATTATACTATTGAATTTACTTTGATTGTATTAAAGAACACTTACATTGTATAGAAAATATTATTAAATATATGATCGTATTTAAAATATACATTATTGTTATCGCTCAATCGTTTATAACGATTTATTTATTACACATTACAAAAATATATTTATTTTAAAATTCTTTTAATTTTAATTAAATTCATTTAAAGTATTTTAAACTATTTTGATCAATAACTGTATTGTATCATTTCATTGCATAGAATAAATAAAAATTTGTAACTTCAACTTTAGTTTCGCACGCAATCAACCATCTCTACATATTTCCCGACCTAATAAGAGTGAGAAGGGACACTAAAATTCTAAAATAAAAATAAATAATTGAAAAATATAAATAACCCGCCTGCATAAAAGACAATTATTAGTAATGCACAAAATTAATACCAGATATGAACAAATAAACTCTACTTTGGATTAACAAACTATATTATGAAAGCCTAAGTTACCCGCATTAAGGTTTAGTACCTAGTGGGATAGATCCAACTGCAAATTATAAACGGAAACAAAATTTAATGGGTTACTTAGTAGTAAGTACCAGCTCTAATAGTATTTGCTAGTGGTCGCCTAGTGGTCGAAATTCAACCATAATTAATTACACATGGTAGTGTGTGTAACGTTTTTTTTTTATTGATTTAATGTATGTTTTATCCGTAATTTAAAGCACTTTTTCTCTATATAAACGTAAAAAGGGGTGCAAAGTTTTTGCTTCACGTATTAATATGCAGATAAGTATAAAATACTATTAGGGCCGGTAATCTTACTTAATATTATAAATGCAAAAGTTTGTATGTATGGATGGAACTTTGTTACTCTTTCACGCAAAAACTACTGTCTAAATATTACGCCTTCATCCTATTCTACGCAGACGTAGTCGCGGGCAGCAGCTAGTAATCAAATATGACGCCGGTTGTCGTACATTCGGCGTCACACTAGCACAAGTATTTGTGAGACCCACTGATAACTGCTCTGGGTTCTTGTTCCCAACGAGGGTCCATCGAGCAGGTTGTCAGTCGTAAAAAGCCTAGCCAATAACGCTTAATATAGGATTATTCACATGTTGTGCCAACATAAACCATGTGGGATATAATGCATGGCTTTTAGAGCCAGTAGTATTTTAAAAAGATATTAAGTTCTTTTCTCATTTATGCATTCCTTTTCAATCTTTAATATATAATGTTATGTTTAGTATCTTTAACATGCCTTACTTTTAATGTACCTTTTATTTTCAACACTTGTAGGTTTTTCCACTTTTAGATTCTTACTCTAATTAGCTATTTTTTAACTTAAAGCAAATTTAATCTGATAAACCTATTTCTTTCACTTTAAATAAACAATTTATGATAAACACGATTACATATTCTTTACTTATATTTATTTATTATACATATCACTTAAAATAGGGTTTTAAAACCATAACAAATATTTTATAGATCCACTAACTCCTCAATTCTTAATAAAATATAGAGAGCAGGAGATTTTCTGTGTATTTTATACACAGAAAATCTTCTTTTACAAGTTTACGCATCTTTACTTCATATTAGTTCTTTCCAGATAAATGAAAAAGTATCATGAAATGTTTCAGTAAATATTTCCCATAATCTTATATCTTAAAAGCAGAAGAATTGCATTCGACATTCGATATGATCACGGGAATGATTTTTTTTCTGTCTTTATTAATGAAGATTTCGTTCTTTAAAATATTCACTGCGAAAGGTTCATATTGAAAATAATCAATAATATAAAAAATACAACAAAAAGTAAAAATACCTTATGTGCAAACTACTACAAAGAAAACAATCTATAAAGTAGGAAATGTTTACTGCTACCGCACCTTTAACGACTCTGTTTATAAAGTAAATTGCTTGCCTTTATGTGACCGGATGTGGCCGGAGCACTTACTAAACAATGTACTTAATTAAATATTACTAGCACCCAATTTACTTAATTGTGTCGAAATCTCGATTACACCTGTAACTAGTTAACTACTGGTACTACAACATTTTGGTATTTTTTTTTTTCAGAAGAAGTAATACATTTAGAAATCTTATGGACATTTAGAAATATATCCGAAAATGTTTTGAGAAAACTAGTATATGAACCATGAAAATTCTCGTCTTTTCGAACACTTTCCAACATTAATAGTCACGTAACGGACCGCACATGTAGTAATTTCATTCAATCGTGTGAGGTGTCCATATAAATACAAGAAACCGCACCCACATATAAGCTTTTATAAATTAATTATAATTGTAATATTAAATATAAGAAAATATTAGTTTTTAATATGATATTGATTAGTTCTAGTCTAACCGCCCCCATTTTCGTCTCCACGGCAACAAGAGGCTGCGTCGTCAGAACAATCTGCGCAGGCAGATCAATGGAGCTTTCCAAGGGATGTCACAACGCAATATTTCAAGTTTCTAGAATATTCCAAATATTGCTTTATTACCTCCCATCACTAACGTATATTGAATAAAATACAATGATAAATCAGAATAATCTTAATATTATTGCAGCGTGATTAATTTAATCGCATCGCAATGTATTTATTTAATCGTATCTTTACAGAATGCGAATAAATAAATGTCTTTCATTATGTTGGAATACCTAAATCGATACAACATAAGTACAACAATAGAAATATTTTTTCAAATTATTTTTATATAAAATAGTTTATATTTGGGATGAATTCAAAAATGTAATTACAAATTTTGTTACTTTAATTCATATAAGTTATTATACCTTTAATTGTTAAAGATTTGCAGCCGTTATGCGTGAAATGAGAAAAAAAACTAATATAAATACGTTAACATAGAAAATCTAGTAGGAGAAAGATAATTGAACATTTATGGTTGTAATACATAGCACGGCGACAACCCTGTGTTGACACGAATAAAGTGCGCAGAACCTCACTCTCAGCTGAGCCTCCCCAGACTAGCTGCGCGTGTAAGCTTTGTCGTGTCTCTTTCCATTTCCTTCTTATATACAGTATCAAAGCCAAAACTGTGAACAGTATACAAAAGTGCAACGTTTGTAGTGATGCTTCTCATTCTATTGGACACATTTATCTTCAGGTTACCATTCGAAAGTCGCAATTTTGGATAAAGTCGTCATAGCACGTTCAAAAGGTAAGTATAATTATATTATTATGTAATCAGCTTATTTTTCGCGCTTAAACTAATTATTATTTATTTAAAACTTTATCCAATATGAATCTAAATAGAAGACCATTGCTACGTACGTGCTACGGATGCCGTAAGAGAACCAATGTGGATAGTGTTATTATACATAATCATATGTTAAGAGAAAAATTAAAAACGCCAGGCTGTGATATAATTACGTTACATCACACGTACTTAATTTGCAAAACATGTGTAAATAAATGAAGTAACAAAATTTTTTCAGTTTCTACCTTACCAGACAAAAATCTGCCCAACAAAATGAAGGAATCTTCGGAGGATGACTCTGGCAATGAAGAAGTCGTACCAATTCCGGTTCAAATTTTTCTTTGGAGGCAAACAACGCCTTTTGTGCGACCAAGACTTGGAAAGGTTCACGACGCGTCGTGCATGGTTAGTTTACTTTATTTAGATATTTATGCACCTGATAAATGTCTGCCTCTGTAAATATGCAATGTTAATGTAAACTGCGAATAAATTACTCAAATGTAATTAATATCCGAAAAATCTAGTCTTGTCGAATACAAAAATATTTTTCAAAAAATCCCACGCTAAAAAAATGTTAGTATCTATGTTGTCTACTTCTTAAGTGTTTACTGTATTGAGAAACTTGTATGACACAAATGTTGTTAACCGAAATGTTGTTTTGGTGTTTGTATATAATTCATTTCACTTATTTGTTGTGGGCATCCAGTTCTGCCAGCGAGCTCCAGGCCATCACGTAAGTATTACACATTGCTTTGCAGATAGGAATCCTTCATTACTGCTTAGCAAAATTAGTAGTACTAAAGGTTTTATGATTATTCTACTCTATTTTTACTCTTTACTGTATCGTTAGGTTAATGAACATTATTTTTAATTTAGATAATTTGAAATCATAAATGTAATACTACCATGACCTAATTTTGCAACTAACACTTCAATGCAAACAGCACCAGCTTCCTTCTGCTATTCCAAATATTTTAGCCCAGTGGAACTAGTTTTTATTTAACGCAATTTTTATTTATTTTGGACATAAAGTCATCCTATCTCCCTACACCTTATTTAAAAAATGAAATAGGTAATTTGAGCATAACATTTTTATACGACTTGGAAATGTATATATCCGATTCAACATCTCTCAATGAAAACTTTAACTAATAGTTTTAGTTTCCATAGTTATGTTTGTGTATCTTATCCTTTAAACGAGCATTTCTTGTGTATATATATATATATATATATATATATATATATATATAAATAAAGTAAGTAGTACCTGGACGATGTTTTTTTTTGTAAATCGTGTATTTTGGAAATTACATTTAGATACAAAATATTGAATAATGAAATATGCATAATATTTTTCGATCTTACGGACCTAATAAAAAAAAAATATGAAGTGGTGTTTTTCACAAAGAAACAACTTTAAAAAAAAGGGAAAAAATATCATCAAAAAAGATATATAAAAATCATCTGGGTCAACAAAAATAAAAATAAAGAAAGCAATGATCTGGAATCGAAAAAAAAGTGTGTAAATGATTGTGAAACACGGCCGTTTGTTTTGGGGGCGCACGATTACCGACCGAGCTATTATAAAATTTTTTTGCGGCGAAATTTACCGTCATATTCGAATGATATTTTTCATTTCCTGAAAACTGTATATATTATATTCGAATTTTTTATTTTTGTTGACCCAGATGATTTTTATATATCTTTTTTGATGATATTTTTTCCCTTTTTTTAAAGTTGTTTCTTTTGTGAAAAACACCACTTCTAATTTTTTTATTATTAGGTCGGTAAGATCGAAAAATATTATGCATATTTCATTATTCAATAATTTGTATCTAAATGTAATTTCCAAAATACACGATTTACAAAAAAAAACATCCTCCAGGTACTACTTACTTTATTTTTTATAGGTTATCGTCAGTATCCGGGCACTTGCCTTCTAATTCGTTTTATTCGAATTGTCGAGACTAATGTTTATAAAATAGTAGTGTTGGTTTACTACTATATTTGTGACTTATAATTTTAATGTTGATTTACAATGTGCTCGTTGGTGGCGAAAAGAATTATGATGAAACTCGAATGTCTAAGAAATAATGTAAGTAAATTACAAACGGTTCTCCAAACCAAGTTTTTTTTCTAGTGCTGGGGATCTGTATACAAAAAAGCAAATAACGTTTGTCTCATTTCACTCATAACGGCTGCAAATCTTTAACACTTAAAGGTATAAATTTGTATGAACCTTAAATTAAATATATTTCAGTTAAGATTCATACAGATTTATATATGTTGCTTATATCTATTTAGATATAAAGATATATGCCTACAGCTACATTTTTAAAAATGTCGATTTTATACGCTTTCCCAACGATTAATTTGTTTGTGCATTAGTGGCAACATTATTGTTATATGTCAATGTCAGATCAGATTGTAAGATTTGTTATTATTTACATAGACCAGCTGTGATTATAAAATTTTTTGTTCCAAATTTTAATATTTATATAAAATTATAAATTTACATGCAATATAAATAACATAATTTTTTTCATACATTGTATAGCAATTATTAAATTAAGATATAAGTAATTCCTCTCATTACCTATTATTAATATTCCCATTTTCTATCTTCAGGAACTGAAAGAAGCTTGCAAGGTTAGTGTTTTAGGTGATATTTAAGACTTTATGCTATATCATATAAAAACTAAGTTTATTCATAATGTGTTTTGATTATTTTAAAGAGAAATAAAATAATAATATTTCTTTTCATTATCTATTCATTACCCAAGTTATAAGTAAGTTACCTTTTAATTTTTACTTACATTTCATTTTGCATATTCATATTTATATCAAACTTAAATTTATAAACATTAATCATTACTTCATACTTACAAAAAGAGGGGCTTAATAAGTTTTCAAATTAAATATGGTAATCCATATTTTTGAAACAATCCTATATAGGTTTCGTTTTTATATTAATGGTAACAATAATCGTTTTTTATGTAATTTTACAGTCATTTGAAAAAGTACTGGTGCAAAACTTACATTTTGGACTCTCCATCAGCCTTACCGATGCAATAGAATCAATACCAAGATGGCGATTGATACAAACAGCATTACCGCATGTTATGCATGCACTGGCAGCATTGCTACACACCAGGTTTTTGTTTTATAATGTATTTATACATATGAATGTAAAATTTAATAAGAATAATTGAGTTAATAAATTTTATTTTTACTGTAAAATTGCAATTGAATTTAAATTGGATGGATTTGTATTTTTGATGAAATATATTTGTATGAACAGTATTCTGTTTTAAGACTTGTGTAAAAATTAAATCCATTTTGTGCTTTACAAATAATTACATAATTTTTTTTTATTACAGAATAAAAGACAACATGCAATCTTTGGGGAATGTAGAGACGAAACTTCTTTATACTTTACACTGGATCCTTCTTGATGCTTCAGATGAGTGTGCTGATAATGATTATGAAAATGATAAATTTTACTCACATCCATTTTATTATTTATTCTCCATACCAACAATGACAGTAAGCCTAACATTTATTATTTCAAGCAGTAATACTACTTTTATGGTTTTTGAATGACCATAGTAAGCATTCAATAAGATAATGATTTATTGGGTTTATTTTAAGTACACTGTTTTTAAATAATAAAATAAGCCATTTAGATTTTTAGATTATAACTGAAATATATTTAGAACCTAAAGTAAGCAGGTAGTAAAGCTTGTATAACATATATTTTGTAAGCTTTCCTTTTTTGCAGCTCTTTGTGTTCCTGTTTGCACCAATATCACATCATTTGAAAGAGTCTGACTTCACCAATAACTATAGATTGGAAAACGGTTTAAAAATGTGGCAGGCCATGTGGGAATTTCGACATCCTGACTCCGCATGTTTTACCACCTTAGTGAAGCCTAAACCGAGACCTCTTGGCGGTAGGTTCTCAAAAAGGAGCCAACCTGAAGATGTATTCTTAGGCCGTAAGTATCACATGAATAGACTAAACAGTAAAATGGTATTATTACCAACATGATACTTGGCGTGAATCCAAGTGTATTTTTAAATTATTTTGCGCAAACCGCAGGAAAGTTTTCAAAAGAGGAGGGTGGAAGTCCACCCAGTCAAAATATGTCAGTATCACAATCGGAAATGCCTTCAAAACAAGCCAGTACTGAGGAAGAACCATGGCTGTCGTCTCCTAAAGACACAATATTTCCAGAAACGATCCCAGAAGAGAGCTCTAGTACTGAAGAAGAGCATGTTGTAAGTATCAAAACTTTGTCTGCAATAAAACTTTTAAATTTGCAGATTTTTAATATTCGTTTATTTTAATTGCGATAAAAAGCAAACCGGGATTTAAATATAGTATGAAACATTATATTAATGTTATTAAATAAAAAAATAAAACTATAAGAAAAGTTTAAAAAATAAACGTTTTTGGGTAAATATTTATTGCAAAGGCAGCATGGAAACCTGTTAAAAAACAATTAAAACATGCAATCGAATATGCTTCTACTTCAAATTAATACGGGACCAGAAGGGAGCTAAACGGTTAGCGTTACAAAAGAAAAATAAGTAAAAGTTTTATCCCGCGTGCCAGAGAACTCTTTGTTTTAAAAAAAAAGACATTAAATGCAAATGAGGTTTTATTAAATAACTTTAAATTATAGGTAAATATGAAATAGTTTGTTGCAATTCATTCTCATCATTTTTCCGAAACGCGACAAAAGAGGTATGTATAATTTCGAAAATACAATCGAATTGACCCACCCCCTACTTTTTCGAATCTGACAAAAATTGTCGACCGTAACAATTCTGTGATAAATTTTGTAAATTGTGTTTCTTACTTTGTTGTTATTTACTTATTCCAGTTCATTTATCGTTTACCGTCGGAACAAAACTACGGCGGGCCATATAAAGACGTGTACACGGTGTACGCGGCAGATCCTAGTCTGTTCCAAGTCCGAAAGCAAGACAACATGAAGCCAACACTTCCAGGGATAAAACCATTGCCGCAAATAACGAAAATGAGGTTAATTATATAATATTTCTGTAACATAAATAATCTCACATTTAAATCTAATATATAAGATTCTCGTGTCACGGTGTTTGTAATTGAACTCCTCCGAAACGGCCCGACCGATTTTCGTGAAATTTTGTGTGCGTATCGGCCAGGGTGGAGAATCAGACATCTATTTTTCATCCCCCTGAATGTTAAGGGTGGTCATATGGCAAAACAACGTTTGCCGGGTCAGCTAGTAGTATATAGAATTGTGTAGGTACACCGCTCGAGCTCAAGCACATTGCCTTTTTTCTTTTGCGAGTCGAGTTTTTATTATCTATTATATAATTGGAAAAAATTAGTACTTTTTTCTTTTTAAAAAGATGTTACTTTTCTTTCAGTTCATCGGACAAAGAATCGCTTTCAGATAGTGGTGGCGGGTGCCCGGGCATCAAAGGAACACCAACTACTGAAAAACCACCATCCAGCAAACAAGGAAATGTAATTTTACCAATAATCTTTTTAATATTATTTTTTGTATTCCTGTAGCTGTGATAGCTCAGTGACCTGACTTTTTAATTCAACATACTCGAGCAATCAGAGTTCAATTACCGGTGCTGACACCGTGCTGAGCGGTGAAGGAAAACATCGTGAGGGAACTGCATATTTTCGAAATAATAAAGATTTTTAAAGCTAATTTTAAATCAGCTCTTAGTACATTTTAATATGAACAAAATTTTTCACAATGAGCAATATGGATTCACTAAAGGCAGATCGACAACAGATGCGGGTATCGCACTTGTCAAACATATTTATAACGCCTGGGAAGGGTCGCAAGATGCAATAGGTGTTTTTTGCGACCTTTCAAAAGCTTTCGACTGCGTGGATCACAAAACCCTCCTTCTAAAGCTCGATTATTATGGCATTCGTGACATCGCCCTCAATCTCATTGCTTCTTACCTTAATAATAGAATTCAAAAAGTATCTATAAATGATGTAAATTCCGCAGGGTCCCCCATGAAAATGGGTGTCCCACAAGGATCGATCTTGGGCCCATTATTATTCTTAGTATATATAAATGATCTCCCCTTTTATGCCAGTGAGTTATGTGATGTTGTACTGTTTGCTGACGACACATCGCTTATTTTTAAGGTTGACCGAAATGTATCGAATTATGACGACGAGAATAGTGCACTTTCGCGTATCCTCCACTGGTTTACCATTAATAATATGGTGTTAAATGCTAAAAAAACTAAATGCCTTCTTTTTGCCCTTCCCAACGTAAGAAGGCAAAGTTTTAGCTTAAAATTGAATAGCGTAACCCTTAATCCTGTTGAGTCCGCTGTATTCTTGGGAATCACAGTAGATTCAAAGCTACAATGGAGTCCCCATCTATCATCTCTTGCGAATAGGTTAAGCTCCGCTGTTTTTGCAATTAGGAAGGTTAGGCAGCTATCAGACATCGACACTGCCAGACTTGTTTACTACAGTTATTTTCACAGCAGCTTGTCGTACGGCATTTTGTTGTGGGGTAGTGCATCTGATATAAATTCAATATTTATTATACAAAAAAGAGCTGTCCGAGCAATTTATAACATCGGAGCCCGGAATACACTCAGAGATCTTTTTAAAGAGATTAATATACTCACTGTTGCGTCTCAATATATTTATTGTAATATTTTGTATGTTAAACAGAATATTAATAATTATCAAAAGAATAGTGACAGACATAAACTAAATACTAGAAATAAGGACAAACTAACTACGCCATTATTTCGCCTACAAAAAGCAAACAGATCGTTCATGGGGCAAAGTGTGCGCATGTATAATAAAATCCCACAGTCGATGTTAAGTCTGCCACTTGATGAATTTAAACGAAAAATTAAAAGTACACTTATGGCTAAAGCCTATTATACTATTGCCGAATTTCTTGACGACGCCAATGTGTGGGGTTAATACTGTTGATACTCACGTAGGCTAAAACAAGACTATTGTACCTGTACTATTATATTGTAAACTGATTTTTTAAAAAAGAGCAACTGTTGATTTTCTTGCCGGTTTCTTCTCAACAGAAACTGCTTTCCGAACCGGTGGTAAATTACGAACGTGTTAATTTTTTGTAAAATTTTGACGTTTCATAAGAACGCGCAAGCGTCTATGTGAATAAAGATATTTTATTATTATTGGGGGGATATTCATTTGTTTTCTCGTCTGGTTGGGTTTATAAATAAAAATAAAAATATAGATACATATTGCATATATAAAATAAATATTATGGATAAAAATAAACAAATACATATAAATGTTGTATATAATACATATATAAATAGGACCCAACCAGACGGAAGCCCTCGGCAGGGGAGACCAAACGGCCGAGGGTTAGGGCGATAGGGAGAGAAACCGGCGGACGATGCGGGCGGTATCGAGGAGCACCGCCTTCTGCATTTGAGCTTGGAGCGATCCGTCCCGGAGTCCCAGTCGCCTCAGATGTTCAGAGGCTGACTGGGATTAACCCATTCGCAGACACGACAATCGGGATAATTTCGGTCGGCACACCACCCCACATGTCGGTCACCTCGTGAGCCAGGTCCAGATACTTTGTCTTCTTATCTGTTTCGGCTTTCACGAGGTTCTCGTCATATGGAATGGTAATGTCGACCAAAAATACCCGCGACTGTGCCCGGTCCATCACCACGATGTCAGGTTTGTTCGCGACAATCGTCCTGTCCGTGATGATGGGCCGGTCCCAATAGAGCGTGGCGCGGTCATTTTCGAGCACGGCCTCCGGAGAGTACGTATAGTACGGCAGTTTCCGATCCACGAGGCCGTATTTCAGAGCGAGCTCCTGGTGTAGGATTCTGGCTACTAGGCTGTGTCTATGCAGATACTCAGAGTTAGAAAGGATGGAACAACCGGAAATAACATGCCGAAGCGACTCCCCGGGATGGCGACAAGCTCGACAGATGTCGACGGTGCCATCGCTTAGGATGTATTTCCGATAGTTGTTCGTCTTAATAACCTGATCCTGTATTGCACAGACAAAACCTTCGGTTTCCCCAAAGAGGTCACCGAAACGTAGCCAGTTAAGGGAGGCAACGGTATCTACGAAAGGCTCGTGTAGAGCCTTGTAGAACCTCCCGTGAAGCTCTTTCTCCTTCCATACGGTCTCTCGGTCGGAAATGCTCAGTACTCCCGGGTCCTGCCATTGCTCGTTGGCTAAGGATAGAGGGGTAAGTCCTTTATCACAACTAATGACGTCCGTGTAGATTGATTCATCCGATCTCGCCAGAAAGTAGCCTCGCGATTGTGCATGGTGAGGGCGCTTAAAAAGCCCCTCCCACCATGCCTCCGCGGCAGGTACAGCCTCATCACTGACGATCTCGGATGATGCATTCTGTGGGACGTCATAGTTGTGCGGACTTTTCGATCCAGAGCGTTGAGCTCAGTTTGAGTCCACCTGAGTATGCCAAAGGTATACATGAGGACTGGCATGACCCAGCCGTTAAATGCGCGTGCCTTGTTCACGCCTGACAAATGGCTGTTAAATACCTTTGTCAGGCGTGCAAAAAACACGTCACGAACTGACTGTTTCATGCCAGCCTCATCAATACACGTGTTTTGTGACATACCCAGGTATCGGTATGTTTCAGCCTCAGAGAGGGTCCTTATGTTAACGGGCATAGATAAGTCTATGCCCTGATGTTTAGGAACCAAATGAGTGACCCCAGTAGTAAAGAGGCTCGGGAGTGACCTCTGATCGAGAGCTTCTTGGAACTGTCGGGCGAGCACAGCATGACACACCACGAACCCCTTCAGCCAGTAGAGATGCAGCCCGTCGAGTCCCGGACTTTTCCAGTTCGGGGCTCTACGGACTGCCTCAGATACGTCGTCGGGTGTTATGACGACGGGGTCCATGGGTGTAATATCTGCACATTGGCTCGCCACGACTTGTGTCCAAGGGCCCTCGCTGTGGTCTACGGGCTCTGACCACAGGCTGCGCCAGAAGGTGACAGTGTCTGCCTGGTCCGGTCCTTGGCCCGTTCCACAGCTCATTGGTCGCTCCAAAGATTTGTAGAGCCTCTTTTGGTCACTCTGAAAGTCTATTATTATTATTATTTGAATATATGTCAATACCACGCGACCATACTTCAAATCCGCAGAGGGGTTGCTTAATGGACTATGCACTAATACTTTCTGTATAGAAAAGACCTTTACCCAGTAATGGAACATGTATAGGCTGATATTATACTTTTACATTACTTTGACAACTTAGACGAAATTCTATTCATCGTTCAATAAATTTATCCTCTATTGCTATATAAAACATAAAACGTTTATCAATTAACACTATTTATTTATTAACAAAATTTAAAAGGTCTCAGCAGCAACTTTCCTGGATGTCGCGACGCTGAGATGTCTTTTTACCTCACAGTGGCAAGAGGAAGGTGTATACTGGGCTCTACACTATCTATATAACAGGTGCGTACTAAAATTGAAAGAAAATGATTGTCATCGGCGTTGAAGTAATATTGAGGAATATAATTTTGTTAATATATATAATTTTTGCTTTTGTAGAATATGGTCCGTTATAAAATTAATTTACCTGATATTTACTTCAATTTATCAGAGAGTTATCGAATATTTTTTGTAGATTGCGCGACATCTGCGACGACATGTCAAAACACATCCAGCCAAGGAAGAGAAGCAACTCTCTGCCCATCCCGAAAATCGAAGTGTCAATATACCAGAGCCCGGACATGAAGGAGCATGATTCGTTGAAAAATTTCATGGAGGTCCCCGAATCAAAGGAAATATCTCCAATAACGGAGATGCCCTCCAGTGTGCCCAAAATCGACGAAGAGAACCTCATGACGCGGAGGGCGAGCGAGAAGGTGAAACGCAAAATGAAAATGGCCGACCTGAAGGCGTTCGTTGAGACGAAGCTGCTCTCCAAATCTGAAAAGGCCCTAGAGAAAATCGGCCAGGACGAGCATAAATTTAGCTTTCATACAGCAGTAAGAATGATATCTGTACTTATTTTTTTTTTTACCATCGCTTCTTGTTTTAACCTGTTCGACAATATTTCGATCTCGTCTTTGCTTGTGCAGGAATACCATAGAAGTCTCGATAACGCGGATGACAGGCCCAATTCAGCGCTGGCGAGCAATTTTCCCGCCATTACTCCGCGCCTTACTGGCGATCTTCTCCCATGCAATCTCATTAAAGGGAAAAGTATGCCAAGTCTGAGGTGCGTATTGGCTATTTACTACGTATTCATATTTATGTTTATCGTTCAACGATATAATACTCTCGTAGATATAGTTTAAATAGTACTAACATATATTTTTTGTAGGCATAGGTTTCATTAAGAATAAAGTACCTAATCAAAATTATTGTAGATAAGAAATTATTGCTGACACACCACTTTGAAATACGAGTAAAAATACAATTTTATTCCGAAAAAAAGTTTTAGGTTACAAAATTATTCCCACTTTTAAGGATCCGGTACATAAATGAAATTTTAATTATCTCCATTATTATTTCTACGTCTATTTCCTCTCTGTATGAATTATCGTCTGTTTCCTTTAAAACTCTGTGCACAGCATGATTTTCTTTTTGTACACGATTTCTGGTGATTCTCTACTCAAAAATATGTTTTTTCTCTTTTTCTCCCGTGATTTTACTGCTTAATCCTACTAATGTTGTGGACGAAAACGCTAGCTGCTTGATTGATGAGCTAGCGTCGAATGGGTAAGTGTACAAGGAATGTAACAGAGGTAGTAGACGCTTCGTCACCTAGTTTCGGGTCTAGTCTAGGACATTGAGGACATATAAAGCGCCTTGTGTTTGTTTGCATAGACAATTATTCGCTTTGTACAACAGATAGTGGTTAAAATGTTTAGCGCTTTATGATGACTATTTTATGAAATATCACGTTCAGTTTAATGTATATGCAGTAGATATAACAGTAGATAGATCTTACGCAATAATGAAAAATTGTATTTAAAATTATGTAGATAAAGCACATGGATTTTAATAGTAACGGTTAAAATAAATAATAATTCTAAATACATATTGAATATTAAGTATATTTACAAGTTTTCAAAATTTATTTGAGGTCCGTTTTAATTTTTAAAGGGATTTTTAATCCGTCAATATACCCCACAGTTGATTTACTTTTACTCTGTATATACACTTTTACAGTGTAAAATTATCTACAGTCATATTTAAAACACTACACTGCATGCATTATTAACATCTAATAGTGATATTTATTCAAGAATGTCATAAACTATTTCATTGAGATTATCAAATTCATGAGACCTTCATACCCAGTCAGAAATAAATTTGCATGTGTTACCACGTTAGAGTCATATAAAAACCCAAATTGACACAAAAATTACGAAGTCAATCAATTGACAATACTTTATATCATGCTGCAAGTATTAATATTTTATAGAATACATAATTATTCACAAACTTGAGTACAAATTTTGCATGCAACACATAACACTAGATCAGTCTACAATGTTCTCAGACAATATTTCATGTCTGGGTAGACAGAAATTGGGCATTCTGTGTATATCATGCGTTATACATGGGTACTTCTGCGGATAGATTAAATGATTTAAGGTGTGGCCTTTGGCGTCAGAATAAATATGACATTTTGTGACAAGAGTAGATTGATTGATGCACTAGAATATACCAGAATCGTATATTCATAAAGTCCAAAATCCTTTTAGATATATCGGCGAAGCGAAGACAGAGCGTGCGCACGGACAAACTCCAACGGCGCACTCTGCAATGCAAAAAAAGAAGAATCCGATAATAACTGTCACAGAACACACGCCCACACCGTCGCCGGATTACCTTTCGAAGACGAGACAAGTAAGACGGAAGATATACCAGAATTGATGATAAATTGATGACTTGGTGGCTTCGGCCTTGGGGGTCGTGGGTTCGATTCCCACACGGGACAACTATTTGTGTGACCCACAGATATTTGTTTCGCATCTGGGTGTTTGTCCGCGTGAAATTTATATTTGTAAAACGGCCTTACAACACAGGATAATGTTATCCTAAAGTAAGGGCAATGTTTTTTTAAATAAAACCAAACCAAAACCAAGATCAAGACTTCCTCACAGAAATTCCACTGTCACGTCCCATACACCACACCTCTCTTTTATAACTTCTGTGTATTCACTACATCCCAAATGTAAACACTGAACCAAAACTTCTCGAAGTGTTCATAAATCGAAGTAATATATATTTAACTGTGGTAGAGCCAAGCAACAGTTCGCGGTTGCACGAATGGGCAGGTCCGTCTGGGTGAATACCACAACTTCACAGAAGACCGGCGAGAAGTGACGCATCTGCAACCCTACGGGTGTTACAATTGTCAATGGGCGGCGATTATCACTTAACGTCAAGTGAACCGCCAGCTCGTTTGATACAAGTGAACATGGTATACTACTGCGTTTAATCTGGTGAGTGAGGTGGCTGGAGCCCACTTTCTTGAAAGGTGGCAATGCATCTGCAACCCTACGGTTGATGCAAATGTCCATAGGCGGCGGATATCACTAACATCAGATGAACCGTCGCTTGCCACCTTCTCACAAGAAAAAAATTTGTACGATTTTCCTTTTCTCATTTGAAATAATTTCATCGTAATCACTACAAATAGCGTCCACATAATCTATGCTTTATCAAGATATTATACCTCTAATAACAACAACATACATTTTTCATCTAGCTGAATTTACTTTAAAATTGGGTTCAAATCATTTGTGGGCTCTATATATTCAAGGGCTCAATGGAGTCTCAACTGGACTCTGTGAGTATGCAAGGCTCCCAGCACATTCCGACCCCCGAACGCAAACCAAGTTTAACGCGTTCTCAAACTGACTCGAACATTACTTACATCGTGGAAGAGATACAGGAGGCACCCGGCTCCAAGTTTTATATAACGAAGGACGGTGACATCGATTTTCAAATTATTCTCAAGGTCAGTGTACGATTAATGTGAATTATCTATGGTTGTTTAAATAAACCTTTTTTTTAATCTCCGTTCATCCGTATAGATAGATACTTACAGATGTTTGTAAAAATAATGCCTTAAACCTTTTGTGCTAACAGAAAACGTCTTAAACACGGGATAATAGCAATTATGTTCACGTTTCTTAATTACATATTGGCTGTATCCTTTAATTTTTTATATAATAGTTGTAAAAGATTCATTTTAAATTTAATTATTACATTTCAAATTAATATAAAATAATTTCTCTCTATTTTTCAGGCAGTATATTCTGTATCTACTATGGATAGTTTTTATATAACGGTCAGGGTGATGGAAGTCATGTTAAATTTAGTTGACACTCTTATGGAAATTGGAGTTCACAAGAATTGGCAGATGGATAACACCAAAACTGCTCAACCAGAAACTGTGGACCCTCTAGCTGAATTCAACAAGGATAAAGATAGCAAGGTAAGTTTCGACTTTTATGTAAAGACACTCTAAACAAGTAAAGTTATGATCAAATACTTCAAATTGCTGCAATGTTACTTTATTTCGGATAATGTGATAAAAATTACAGGAAAGGGATTCTGGTATACCATGCGCGCCAAGTCAGGAGTCTACCAACGTAGAAGTAGGCGACAATAAGGACAACACGAAGGATGAAGAAAATTTAGACTGTCCATATTTTATGATTATGCATATTATCCTAAGGTATGAATAATACGTTTATAGTTACTATACACTAGCTGATGCCGGCGACTTAGTCCGTTTAGCTCATTATATTTATACAACTCATTTAAACAACTGCACCGCCAGACCTACTTCACGGCAAGAAAGACATATCACTCGTGTTCAGTGATATGTCTGTATAAGTGATTTTATAAAAATCGTTGATTCTTAAGAATTAAAATTTTTTTCATTAAATGACGATATCACAATATTTTTAGATAAGGGCCTAGCGCCATGTAATAAACTAGGGGACCTGATAGACATTATCTTAAATCCGACAATCAACTATAGGTATAAATAAGTATTTTATTTAAAAAAAATTGTAGTGGACCCAATTGTAAAGCTTACCATCCGAAGCAAACCATCTCGAATCCACTTGAATACAAAAATAAAATCATCAAAATGGCTCCAGTCTTTAGGAGTTCAGCGAATTATATATTAGTACCTGGAGGAGCTTTGCTCGGTTTCTTTTTTGGTAAATCATTTATTTTGGAAATAAAAATAGTAAAAAATAAAGAAAATGATCTGGTATAGAAAAAAAAGTAAAAAAAATAAGTTCGTAAATGTTCTTGACATGAACCACGACCGTCTGTTTTTGGGCCGCCCGATTACCGACCGAGCTATTATAACATTTTTTTTGGCGGCGAAATTTACTGTCATATTCGAATGATATTTTTCATTCCCTGAAAATAGGGATAAAAGGACATTTTCTAAAAATGAAACCTAGCTAGATCGATTTTCCGCCCCCGAATCTACGCACATACTAAATTTCATGAAAATCGCCGGAGCCCTTTCCAAGATTCCGATTATATATATATATATATACAAGAATTGCTCGTTTAAAGGATAAGAAAGATATATAGATAAAATATGTAATATACAGCGTGTCGTTACCATCGCGACAATAAATGAACACACATATAGGGGATAACTTTTTAAAGTTGTATTAAACATTTAAATTCTTTAAACATCAATATTTACAGAGTTATAAAATTTTCCAAAACAAAGAATTTTAGAACACCCTTACCTATAAAAGCGTAACGTAAAGTTCATTTGTAAAGGTCACAAAGCATATGAATGGGTTGAATGAATTTAAAAGAGACAAAACATACGGTTAGAAGAAGAGGCTTATAATACGACGCTGTGGCGCGAGTTGTATAGGGTGTTACAAATTTTGTTTCTTTTTTACTTAATTAGTTTGTTTGAAAAATATTTTTTTTTAATTATGGATTTTGTTTAACGTTAATATTTTTTTATGATTATTGGCAAGTAGCGGTAGACGTGTCTTCATTTATTGTCGCGATGGTAACGACACGCTGTATAAATGAATTTTGAAAAACTAATTGAAATCTATCCAGAAGTTTTGCGCAAACAACACTAGACCTCTATCATTTTTAATCCCCGACGTAGAAAGAGGGGTGTTATAAATTTGACGTGTTTGTCTGTGGCATGATAGCCTCTAAATGAACGGGCCGATTATGATGCGTTTTCCATTTTGTTTGAAAGCTGACATTTTCTTAATGGTTCTTAGCTTACGTTTGGGCGCGTATTCCCTCAGCGGCGGCTTTTCGTCCATTTTTTCTACAACTTTTAAATATTTCATCTTGACACACATTAACACTATAAATATTTTAATTTCAAATGGTTCTTTGCTGTAATTTATTGTTGTGGTCGGCGCGATTGATGTTTTCTTTTTCGTCTTAGATTTTTTTTTGTGTCAAAGGTTACATAAGATTGTAAACCCTATAATATATTTATACAGATTTTAATTAGTTTTCTTGGATACGTCCTTAAAGACTCCTGCGCCAACTGGGCTGCTCGCACGGCTGCACGTCCGCACTGCGCGGCCCGCAAGCGGAGTGCCTCAGGGTGCAGGCCCGCAACTCCCTCCGCCAGCTCCGTTCGGCCTCCGTCGCCAAGTTCAACCAGCGCATCAAGGAGATGACGAAGTTCGCCCCCATCAGGGAGGTGCTGGACAACCTCCACGCGGCCATTGGGTTCTGCGCGGAGCCCTCGAACATGGTCTCGCCAATGAGTGAGTAACTATTTTAAATAGAAACACTTTTGTGATAAGTACATGGAGTCTCATAAAAGAACTGTTCATGGAGTCCCATAATATCATGATGCCTCATGAAATTTAGTGATTCAAAAATTATTTTAAATAGAATAAAGTAATTTTTTTTCAACAACAACAAAAAACTTCGTAAATGCTTACCACGTGCTCAGCGGTGATGGAATATATTGTGAGGAAACCTGCAAGTTTTCGAAATAATAAAAATATTTCGAAGATAAGTGTAGTCTATCAATCCGCAGTGGAGTCGCGTGGTGGACTTTATCCTAATACCCTCTGTACAGAAGACGCCTTTGCTCAGCAGTGGGACATATATAGGCTGTAACTTTACTTAAATGCAAGATAGCGGTAAAGCAAGAAGCTTGTTTCGGTGATAAATACTTATTAACACATTATTATAGTACTGCGTTAAAATTTCGAAGGGGTTTCGTTTTTCGCTGAATAATTTGACATTTATTTCTGACAATTCATTACATTCATTACATTCTATCTCTTTCTCATTATTAGACCAACAAAAGCGTAACTACGCTAAATCGCCGGACGTCAGCCATCTGCAAGCCGGCTACGCCACAAACTTTGGGACGGGACAAGGCGCCAACACGAACAGAGCGATCGACAATTTCATCATAGAGGCCACATTCAGAGTGCTGGTCACTAGGTTTGCGTTAATGCACAAGGAATTGAAGCTTCTAGATAATTCTGTGAGTACACACTTATTAAACCGACACATTTATGCTCCTCTGTAAAGCTGTCTCTTGAGGCAGAGGTTGTGGGTTCGATCCACTACTGGAGACATATTGTGTGATTAACATTGTCATCACACAATATTTCTACATTGACTTTCCAGTGTCAGTGTTTATATATCTATAAAATGCATTTATTTACAGAAGAAAGGTATGTTTATCAGTCACTAGTACAAGCTTTGCTTATTTAGGGACTACATAACGTTTGTTTATACATAACGGAAATGTTTTCAGTGTTCGGATACTTACTAAGGATAGTAAGTATCCTACTAGCAATTTTTAGTGCTCATTTATCGTTAAAAAATTATTTTTTGTTTATTGTTTAAAAAATATGCCGGTTTTTCTACGATGTCCACGTGATAAGTCGGCAATTAAGGTTAACACTTTCATTGGTGTCGGTACCGGGAATTGAACTGAGGTTGCTCGAGTATATTGAATTAAAAGCGAGCGCCCGGACAATGAACTGTCACGGCTACTTTTTAATTTGATAATATTTTTGTTCATCATCTAATCATTTCAGCATATTTGAGTCCACTGCTGAACATAGGCGTCCCCCATAGACTGCCACGAAACACGATCCTGAGCCATTTGCATTCATCGACTCATCGCACATTTGCACAGGTCGTCACTCCATCTAGTGGGCGTTCGTCCCACACTGCGATGGCCAGTTCGAGGCTGCCACTCGAGAATCTTTCTTCCCCAGCGGTTATTGGTTCTACGAGCTATATGGCCGGCCCATCGCCACTTCAGCTTACTAACCTACTGAGCTATGTCGGTTACTTTAGTTCTACTGCGGATGTCTTCGTTGCGAACTCTATCACGCAGAGAATACCGAGCATAGCATATTTTTGTTATATCCAATAAAATTATTCAAAAGTGTAATTACATCCCTAGGCGCTTTATATGGAAGTGCGGCTCCTTCTAAGCTACGTTAAGGAGGCACATGGGACGGAGTTTCGACTGGTAGCGCTCAGTGCATTGCTCGACACGGCTGAAAGACCCGACAGCCAGCAGAAAGACAACAATATGCAGACCACGAGAGTCATAAGGTAGTAATATCGTTTAATCAATAGGGCATGAGAGTCATAAAATGGCTTATATAGAAATCTATTGCATGAATCTCTGCGGATGAATACACCAAAGTAGAGATACGACTGAACCGTTTTTTACTCCGAAACCAAAAATATTTTAAGGGACATTCAAATTTTCAAGTCTCTTAGTTAATCATTTATAACTATATTTTGCACTGTAATGTTATAATCAAATCTTATTAAAATCGGAGACTTTAACATTTTACACCTGTACCCTTTATGTGAAATACCCCTAAGTTGCATAGCGAGAATTCACAAATGTTTTCCTTATAACATATAGCAGTAAAAACGGAACGATTCATAAAAGAAGCGGAAGAAAAAGCTTGTGAAATGTGTATTACATCCATTATTGTCAGTGAGTTAATATGAATCTGGTGCATCTTCAAATGGAGGCTGATCTTTTCTTTCTTCTTTCAAAATTGGCAAACAACAGTGATTTACATGATGTTCAGTAGTTACAGTGGGCATATAGATCTATATTATCTTACTCGCCTAGACTCTTCTTTCTGCGTTTTCAAGGCCATGTTACTTTCCCAGTCTACCTGCCAATTCATTTAGCAGTAGAAGCCGCTGCGCAGCTACCATAGTAATAAGTGTCTTCTTGTTTCTTCTCAATTTTCTTCTTAAGGCACATCCCGAGGATGCAAGAGGAGGAGCGCGGTTCAGACACGGGTGCTGACTCGGGCTGCGCTGATGACCGCAGCCACAAGAAGTTCACATTCAAGAAGAGAAGCACCTCATCCACGGGCGCCCACGTAACCACATTTTATGCTACCACGCGCTCAACGACAAAAAAAATAACAAGTTGGCATTGTTGATCGAAGCTACCACGAATTCTCAATATTGCTGTTTCGTTTGGTCTTAATAGAACTATTTCCAGAAAAAGAACATGATTTTACACATGGCTTGGAATACTCATTAGAGGCAATTCAAATATATACGTAGAAATAAATAATTTTTAATATTTATTGTGATTATAATAAATAGATTAATAATTTTTAACTTAAATTGTTTTACATTTTTATTGATGACCTACTAACGAATATAATTAATTGTAGAAGTGTAAGTTATCTAAGATGACGTCGATCAACCTAGTGAGAGGCCACAGCAACGTGCCGTTTGTGGCGTTATAAGGCAGCTGCCTGTTTTCATCAGTACATGTCCTGCGGCTGATGATAATGATATAACTACTACAACGCGTCCCGCCCCGCCGCCCTCCAGAGCCTCCTGGAGACGGAGGGCGGCGACGAGTCCGCGAGCCAGTCGCCGCTGTCGGTGCGCACGCGCCGCTACCAGCTGACGCCGCGCCAGTCGGAGCGCACCATCCCCTCCGCGGCCTCCGCCGACATCACGCCCCACCACATGGCCCACAAGTCGCTGCACTCCCGCTTCCACATCAGCGGCATCGGTGAGACTGTTCGGGTGTCCCGCCCGACAACGGTAGCATGCACAGTGATTTCACCATACACACACACAGATAGCACCATACACACACAGATAGTACCATACACACATAGTTAGCACCATACACATAGTGATAGCACCATACACACAGTGCCCTCCTCGCCCACTAGCATGATGAAATCGATACAACACATACACAACATACAATACAACAGCGCCCAGGTATTTTCAATGGCCATCGGGCCGCAAACAGTACCAAATCCTGATGCCCTGAGGGTGATGCGTGAATTAGGACGTGGCCCTACCTAACAAGGGGGGCTGTATCGAGTTCGTGAAATCTGGTTACCTCACAGGCTCTGCGTTCGATGCTTTGGCTACGGACACAAAAGGAGAATATCAGTCATGTGAAGACTAGGAGACTGCGTTTACCTGTTTAGTATGATTCTTTGCGTTTGCTTCTATAAGTAGCCCACGTAGAATATTACGTGTAACGAATTTATTGGGCCCTTAGATTATATTTATATCTTGTTAATATGGTACTTCATAACTATTTGAAAAGGGTTACACACAATCAGTTAACTCAGGCAATAGTGGCATGAATATCTTCAGGTTGATTAAAAGTTGGCTAAAATAATGAACTATGGATGTTTATTTGACTATATTATAGACCTCTTTTTACTACCCGTTATTAGCAAATGTCAACATTCATAAGCATTTTTCCCCACAGTGAAGTGGTTTCGCACCCGGCCGCAGCCGGCGCCGCTGGCGCGCAACGGCGGCGGCTCGGGCGAGTCGTTGCCGCAGTTCGGCAGCATGGTGTCGCTGGCGCGGCCCCAGCTCGCCGCGAGGCCCGTGCACGTCAAGCGGCGCGTCGGCTATACGCTCAACAGGTGAATAAACGCAATATTTAAAATTACCCACTCGGGTCCATACACGCAAACTCGAGCACAGCGTAGACACTCGGGCGGATGCACGCAACTCTCGGGCACAGAGTAGACACTCGGGTGCATACAAGCAAACTCTCGACCACAGTGTAGCTATTCGGGTGTATAAACGCAAACTCGAGCACAGAGTATCCACTCGGGTTTATACACGCAAACTCGAGTGCAGAGTAGCCACTCCGGGTGTATAAACGCAAACTCGAGCACAGAGTACCTACTCGGGTGTATACACGCAAACTCGAGTGCAGAGTAGCCACTTATTTTATTTGATTTTTTACTTTTAATATCTTTAGAGCCAGAAAACGAGTAGAAGACAGACTCAACAGGTTTGGCCTTCGCAAGATGGGAAAGAAAAGAGATGGAAGCATTGAAGAAACTTCTGGAGGATGTGCGTATTTAAGTTTTTTCCTACAATTAAGCATGATAGATTCTTTGTTGATATTATATTGTTAATAATAGAACTTGAGCTGTAAACATTGTTGTATTTTTCTTTAATAAATAATAATATTCTATAATAAATAATGATATTCTATAATAAATAATAATAATACTCTGCCCTTATTGAAGGTAAAATTTAAAATATTAAATTTTATGCTGTAAATTATGCACGCTAGATGGCGCCATGCAATGAGGAATAAATATAATATATATTTCAGAACATATTTTCACACAGCGTTATCTAGTCCCAAACTATGCAAATACATCGTGTAGATATTTAAACACCCAGACATCACAAAAGCGTTAGTCGAACGATAACGTGTCTTGAAATAGATATGTCGCGGCGGGGCTCGGCGGAGGGCGGCTCAGGCGGCGGGGAGTCGGAGGTGGTGGTACTGAAGCGGCGGCGGCTGGTGGCGGCGGCGCCCCTCTACGCGGGCCTAGCGCGGCTCAGCTTCCTGCTGGACGCCACGCAGCCTGGCGCCACGCCAGACGCCCTCTTCATGGCGGGACTCCTCGACCTGGTGAGTCGAGCTGGTGCTCCCACCCGAGATGTTCAGCGGCCAAGATAGGGGAAGAGAGGAAATTAACTGTGGTAGGGCAACGCAACAGTGTCGGCTGTTGCACGAATTGGCAGGCCCGTCCGAGTAAGTATCACGAACAGAGGAGCGACGTTAAGTGGGTGTGTTACTATTTTGCGTTTCGTCTGGTGAGTGAGGTAGCCGGGGAAAACTATAAGAAAAAGGTTCACATAGAAACAATCATTTCAGCTTGTTAAAGTCCACTGCAGAACATCAACAACCTCTACAGACTGCCACCAAGCACGATCCTTAGGCACATGCATCCATCGACTTGTAACACATTTACTGCATCGATATGAGTACAATTTAATTATCTTAATTGTCCATGCGTATGACTGATGATAAGATGCATAAATAAAAATTCAAATGAGTAGGAAAGTGAGCAAAGCGTAAACTGAAGCTTTGCTATTACTATGTGCTTCTATCGGTAGGCTGACTTGAAATATCTGGTGACGATGTTTTTTTAATTGTTAATGGCAGGCGAGAAAAATAAATTATTTAGTTCTTTTCTCATTTAACATAGGTTTAGTGCCAAAATTTCAGTACCTAGTGTATATGTTATATATATGTTTTTATCCCAGACGAGTGCAGAAATTACATCATTTGTATAGAATATATAACAAAATATAATATATTAAGGTCTTTATGAGATATATTTATTTCATTGTTTCTTTAGAAAGTAGGATTCTTTAGAATGAAACGATTTCCAAAATTTTGTTATTGTTTCATCTCTGTGGTAAATATATAGATGAAAGCGTTCTGTTAAAATTACTGTAAAATTTTTCTATTTAAAATGAATTAAATTGTAAATATTAATATAAATACACTTAAAACTATACTACAATTAAAAGAATAATTATTTAAATAAAGTCTAACCGAACGAAGTTCTTTCGGAAATATGATTAGAATTTTTTCGATTATAAAGTGTTAATTTTTTCTTTATCAATCAGATAAAAGTAAAAAAAAATGTGAAGCTATAGAGATTTAGTATACAAATCAAATTACACTGAATGCAAAAAAAAAACTGGCCGCGACCCTGCCAGGATTCGAACCTGGAATCTTCTGATCCGTAGTCAGACGCGTTATCCGTTGCGCCACAGGGCCATGTTGCTAAAGCTCCAATTTTCTATACACTTTCATATTCTAATAGCTTTTATTTAAGCTTTTCTTTTTTTTATAGATTTTTAATGAACATAAAATACAATTCAAGATTATTTTATATTCATTAAAAATCAATGAAAAATGGTATAACAAACGAATTCCAAATAACTGATATATTTATTTACCCTGATTTTGGAGTTATACTGCAATCTTCTATTTTTATTAGAAATCTCTATGATCTCTAATTATTTTTTTTTTTTCAAAATATTACTTGATAATATTTTCGATTAATTCAACATTAATCGGAAATATTATCAAGTAATATTCTAGAAAATTATGGACTTGCCTGTTGTAACGAAACAGAAGTAGAATTGATTAATACTTAATTTTGTTTTATTGTTATTATCGAAGCCGCACACGGTCGTAGTAGCGCGTGCTTCGGTGCTTCTGGAGTGCGCCCATTTGGTGCACAACTGCAACAAGGGGCAATGGCCGTATTGGTTGAAATCGAATATGGTGAAGAACTCTCGTAAGTCTTTTTATGGTGCTATATAGATGCCATAGAGTCCACAGGCGCGGAATTTGATTGGCGGGGGCCAGATTGAAGTTTGTCGAAAAAGCGATTAGGGCTTAATTAAAAAATAAATAAGAATAAAAATACGATCATTGAATATAAAGCCTTTCTATTTCATTCTGTGACACAGTGGTTGTTAAAATAAATATAATTAGTTTTAGAATTAATGTATGTACACCATTAACTACCTTTCGTGACCGATTCCCAATCAACAGGTCTGCTGGAAGAAATTTCTTAAGAAATAAGCAGGGCCTTTGTACAAATCGTCTCATTTAATTAACATTTATTTCATATTCTCTGTGTACATAAATTATAAATAAAATAAAATCTTTATTCTAATAATTCTTCCGTATTAATATTTACTTTTCCAATTGCTTAACTATATATCATTCTTCCATTTGTCTCGATCACATTTGCACCAAACACATTTTAACAACCTTATAAATGTAGAAGTTGGTTAGGTAATTTTTTAATATTGCTTTTTGTCCAGTGTCTGCAAGTCCCCAATTACGAAGACGTCTTGCTGGAAAGCTTTTCTACCAATGGGCCGAGGTCAGTCCATCCGCCGTTTTTATTTTGTTAAAGCAAATTTTAAATCTAACTTCCAATCGAACATTATCAGGCTATCGGGAACAGATTGGAGGAAATGTTAATGGAGGATAAAAAGCACCTGGATACCGTAGTCTCCCTGGTAACGGATCCCGATGGACAGCGAGAACTGTTGCAGCAAGACGAAGAGGAGGATTTCCTCGATGAAGGTACTTGGTTGCATGAATTTCCAATTTCTTTAATGTAAGATGGTGGCAAGCGAGGTGGCGTTTCACATGATGTTAAGTGATAACGGCCGCCCATTGACATTTCTAACACCCGTATGGTTGCAAATGCGTTGCAACATTTTCTTCGATACGTCGTTATGGTGTAAGAGAAATATATTCGGGATTCTTACCTACTTGTCTCCTATTAACATTCTTTTATAAGATTTCAGGGAAGATCAAAGCAATCACATCGATACATGTCTGTCTCCTTCTAAAAATCTCGGAGCTCCATCGCGTTTCTAATTTAAGTTTTGATTCGCAGAAATAAAGAAAACAGCGATTCTCCGGTTTTTTTTTCGAAGCATCCGTAATCGCAACAGAGCTATTTTTTACTGATACCACTACCTTTACACACTAGCGACTTTCATGTGCCTCTTTTACGAACAGCCAGCATACGCCTCCAAGGGAAAACTCTCGGCGCCGAATGCCCCCGCGCCTTAAGGCTGGTCGCTTGCGTCCTACTTTTCGAGATAACCGCCTTCCTCCGCGAAACCTACCAAAACCTACCGAAGTCGTGTCGCTCCTCGCTCAAAGAGCGCGGCCCCTGGGACAGAGTGTACAGGTAAGTGCTGCTACCAGACCTCGATCGCTGCGCAGTTGTCGATTCGCTTCTGGAATTTAAAAAAAAATGATCGTTTTTATTTCTTGCGAAGATGGGTGCGAAAACGACGTTTGTTTTGTAAGAATATGTGAGTTACCGAGCTATATTACTTTGATGTGATGTTATAACGAGTGCATACATATTTGACGAGAGTTTTATTTTAACAGGGCTCTTAGCAGTCAACAGGCACTAGTGCCGGTCGAGTATGTTGAAAAGAAGTAATGCATGCCCATTTGCATACCGCACCGAGCGTGCATGTGTTTAGCGTAATGACTAATGAAATTGTCACGTTAAATGAAAACAAATAATGCGTATCTATAGGAAACACAAGAACCAACATGATATTATAATCTATTGGTTCCGCAGAACAGTACAATTTCTTTTAATCACTGACGTCAATCGAAACACTAATAATTATATCTTTTAGCTTGAAATCTGAAAAAAAAAATAATGATTAACATTCCTGAGCATCTGAAATGCTATGACTATCACTATGACTCTTACCTTTAATAAACAAAAATAATTTATTATTATAAGTACATGATATTAACTTATAATAAAAAATAAATTCGTATCTTAATTTTGTAATATTAACCAGTAAACAAAAATTCAAAAGTACTGTTCTGCAAATGCCGTCAAAGATGAACACTAAAAAAATAAAATTAAAGTGCATGGATATTTTCATATATACAGGCACGATCTTCTTGTATATTTTTTTCCAAACATTTCTATGAAACTTAAATTTTTTAGTGTAAAAGTAGGTAAAATATTGAATGTCTTCAATTATAGACAATATCCTACGACTCAACCCCTTCCTAAATAATTGCTTGTAGGTTGCACCTTTAGGATACGTGAATAATTATTAACAAAGCACAAAATCAAATTCTATTTCGACATTTTAGTAACCACCATTTCGATTGAATAGTACTTAAATAGACCTTAGCTAAATAGTGACTTATATGCAGAGTAATCGCTTCGCTACATTGGCATGTAATGAAAAAATACAGATGAAATCGAAAACTAACATGTATATTACACGGTGATAAATTTTGCACAGCGACCTTTGGAAAGAGACATTCGACTAAATTCGGTTTCGTAGAGTGTTATCTCTGTTATATTCTACCTATGTGATGTTTTTCAGTCACTCAAGTGTGCGACAGAGATGCGCTCTACGAAGCTGATATTAAACGATTGTCTCTTTCCTTGTCGATGTGGAGTATTTATCGGCGAGTTATATATTTATGTGATATAGAATAGCTACGTACGGTGCAGTTAGATATGGCGTATTGTTTTTTAAGTTATTAACCGACCTCCACATTCAGGGAGGCGAATAGACGATGGAGCATGGCTCTGTCTAGTATGGGACACTCACAGGCGTCGGCGCAAAGTTTGCAATCGATAGCCGGTGCAGAAACGGAACGGAAGATCTCCTTCGTCCTCCACGAGCCAGAAAACGTGTCTGGCGGCAGCAATGTCACCGTAATGTTGGATTCATTATTTCAATAACATATATTTATGAAAACTAAAAAACGCATTGATAGTATAAAAGTCGAGGGCTGGTTATAATCAACTATTCACACTCTCACACAGCGCTGCATCAAATCAGTAAAGCGCTCTTGCACGCAACGGTACGCACTAGAGCGCGGTTACAATTCGCGTTAACAGTTCTCCAATGGCTTAGTGTTCGAGTGAGTTTTAAAGAAATCGAGTGGTATTGAGCTTTTGCACTCGGCGATTTAAATTTTTAACGAATTTTTTGACGTTTGTTCAACGGCTTCGTGTTCGAAGAGGAATTTTAAGACAGAGATTGGTATTAAAACATGTAGAAAAAGTACGAAAAGATTGTCGCCGCTGTGGGAATCGGCCTGACGCTCTAGCCACTGAGCTCAGTGGCTAGAGCGTCAGGCCGCGAATGCCGAAGACGTGGGTTCGATTCCCACAGCGGCGACAATCTTTTCGTACTTTTTCTACATGTTTTAATGTTCAATCTTAAGTGCAGAGATTAGCACTATAAAAAACTTTAAAATTCAGAGATTGGTATTCTCAAGCGTCGTTAAGTTTCGAGTAGTTCTCAGCTCTAAGACATCGGATGATATTAAGCTAACGCTTTACCACACGATGGTACATTTTAAGACATCGGATTTTCGAAAGGCAATTTTAAGACATTGGGTGGTATTACGCTGTAACGCTTTTGCACTCGACAGTACACACACGTTCGTTACATGGTTTCGCGCGAATTTCCCCATCGCATGCACAAGTGAGGCTCAGCCCGGCGCGTCCGCAGCTCGCCGACGCGATCCCGAGCGCCGTCCTGGACGACAAGAAGGGGCGTCTGGGCGCGCGCGGCAAGGCGATGCACCGCCGCAGCACCCAGCAGACGCACTCCGCTTACGGCTCCTTCAAGCGGCGCTCCATCAAGCTCCGCCAAAAAGACGCCAGGGATGCGGACGAATGTGAGCAACCTCACGTTCCCTCAACCTCCCCCTCCCCCTCCCCCCTCCCCCACACACAAAGTCGGTTATTGCGTTCTTTGTCTCGTCTATCCAATGTGTAGAGCGAAAGTACGTGCTTTGTCTCGTTTATCCATTATGAAGTTAAACGTCAAAGGGCCTTAACGGGTCCCGCTTTCGGTGGTGTTTTATACAGCGTGTCGTTACAACTGCGACAATAAATGAACACACATATAGAGGATAACTTTTTAAAATTGTATCAAACATTTACATTCATTGAACATCAATATTTACCGAGTTATTAAATTTTCCAAAACTAACATTTTTGGAACACCCTTGCGTATAAAACGGTAACGTAAAGTTCATTTGTAAAGGTCATAAAGCGTATGATTGGGTTGAATGAATTGGAAAGAGATAAAACATACTGTTAGAAGGATAGATTTGTAGTGCGACACTGCGGCAACGAATGAAAAAGTGTCTGAATGTATGAATCAGTTGTAGTTGTATAGGATGTTACAAATATTGTTTCTTTTTTATTTAATTAGTTTTTTTTTGAAAAAAAAATTTTTTAATTATGGATTTTTGACGTTTCATATTTTTTATGATTATTGGCAAGTAGCGTTAGACGTGTGTTAATTTATTGTCGCGATTGTAAGGACACTCTGTATAGTTGTTAAAATCAAAGTCATGGTCAACTGTGCGAAATTTTCGCACAGTACCGCGATAAGTAATCGAATGGCAATATAGTAATGTGCCAATAACTGTTTATCGATGGAAGCTCCTTCATTTTGAATAATAACAGTAAAATTCGGTCTTTTCTATCTTGCATTTTAAGAAATTTTTAAAAGATTATGTCCATTATGTCAATCTAATATCAAAACTATGTTGACATTGAAACTTTTCTCATTTCCATTTTCAGTCGTAACACGAAGATCCGACTCAATACAGAGCAGAAGGAAGGTCTCGTCCCTGTCCGACAGAAGCGACACGTCTGAAGTTTTTCCCGGTAAATATAATACAACAATGAACGCAAGAAAATGATTAAATTCAAAATTATGCAACTATGATGTCACCTCTGATACCTTTGATGAGCAGTTATATCAAAGGAATAGTTTGATACCTTTGTTCTGTCCAGCCAGCTTTCGACTTCAGATTAGTAGCCGCTAAACGTGGCCAATGCTTATCCGCTATCCGACTATTAGTAAGCCTCATCCCGGTAAACTATTTATCTCGTGCTACCGTCGTCATCAGGCGCGGTGATAATGCCGAACGAGATGGACAGCGGCGGCGAGGAGAGCCCCGGCGTGCTCTCCGACGACCACGAGCACCCGCCCGACAGCCCGGACAGCAACTCCACCGACCCGCCAGACAACAACAAGGGCTTTCCCTGGCTCAAGGTGCGCCTACTACGAATGGAACGAATGGACGCGCTGATGAACGAACGTAATGCGCCTGCGAACACCGAACAAACATCGAACCGATTAAACATTAAAATTTATAGAAAAAGTACGAAAAGATTGTCGCCGCTGTGGGGAGCGAACCCAAGTCTTCGGAATTCGCGGCCTGACGCTTTAGCCACTAAGCTAAACGCCTGATTGCCACACCAACAAAAATCTTAACATCTTTTATCTACGTTGTTTTTTTAGCATTTGAAGCAATGCTTGGCGCATCCATTGTTATACTTCCAGCATACAAACAATTTTTAATATCGTTTTACAACGATAATTCGTACGACAGATGTCGCCATTGCTTTTTAGAATTTTTTTTATAGTGCTGCACTTAAGATTAAACATTAAAATTTTTAAACCTTATACAGCTCAGGATACAGCATGCCTTTACCAACATTGATCATATCAAAACAAATTATTGTCTAATGAGCGTGGAAAACAGATAAAAAAGAGTCATGCGCATTTTTCAGGTGATGGTGAAATTTTTGAACTCCTTTAACTACGTGTGCTGCCACCAGAACTTCTGCCATCCGTATTGCTTCCGTCGAAATATGCGGGCGACTGTCCGTCTTATGAAGTCCGTACAGAAGGTAAGTAAATATCTAGTTCATCAGCATATAAATCGTACTTACTTTACAGAATAATTATTATCCTATAGTAAAGGCAATGTTTTTTTTTATATGAAGCGTAAATTAATAAAAGCCTGGTCCTCAATTGAATATAGCAAACCTGTCTATTTAATTATTAATTTACTAAGGTCCACCAACAATACAACATGTATTTTTTTGTTTTGTATTTTCTTTGTTATGTTCTTATAGTTGTGCCTATTATAGGTAATAGGTATACACAAAATTTACGATCTAGATAAAAAGTAGGTAAAAAAAGTTAATACTAACAACCAGTTACATGCATTTGATGTTTCTTTATAAAACGACAATCGAATTCTAAAAAAAAATAACAAAATTAACCGATTATGTTTCAGATATATGGTGAGAAGTTCGGTCCGGAGATAAACACGCAGAGCAGCGAGGAGGGCTCGGGAGGGACCAGGAGGGGACGGAGGGCCCGAAAGCCCTCCGAGCATGCCACCGACAGGTTCGAACGATACACGTCAACTATTATTTACATTTAAACCATTATTTTAGAACACATTTTTACTGAACGTTCTAGTCCCAAACTAACCCCACGCTTGCACTATATAACTACTAACACTAGGATACTAGATAAGTGATAAATATACTTTTCTTTTATAAATAAACACACACACACACACACACATATATATATATATATATATATATATATATATATAAATAGATATATAAACACCCAGACACTGGAAAAACACTATGTTCATTACAAAATATTATATAGAAGCATTTTCACTATCCACTACGCCTATCGTCGTCGAATTATTTATTATTATGGTTGTGAAACTGATGATTTTGATATGAATGAATGATTGTGGCACTTGTTCGCTTGTATAGCTCTAGATGTTACTTAGCTATATAGCTTTTTTATACTATATGATATAAATTTGTCCCACGATACGATGATAGTTTTTATCAAAACAATATAAGACGGAAACGAACATTAATCTTAAACAGATCCGTTCACCTGCACACGTTGTTAACGTTTCGCTTTGCGCCCAACGCAGAATCGACCGGTCCGTGATCGAGAGCGCGGGGCTGGCCTACAGGGCGGCAGGGGTGGAGAACTCGCTGCCCCCCCACGAGGCGCCGCCCGCCGCCAAGCCGGGCTCCGTCCCCTACCCGCCGCCCGAGCCGCCCGCCATACTCAAGTACCTCAAAGCGCAGGTGAGTGCAGACGCCACGCCGCCTAAGCGTTTTTAGAGCTCCGTACCCAAAGGGCAAAACGGGACCCTATTACTAAGACTCCGCTGTCTGTCCGTCTGTCACCAGTCTGCCATCGAAATTGGGTATTACATATAATCGGGTACTTAGGTGCGGGAGGCGTACCACATGCCTCTGGCGACGCTGGTGAAGGGCGCGACCACGATGGGCGAAGATCTGTTCGCGGAAGTGGCGCCGGTCGCCTGGAAGCTGCTATTGGAGGCGGACCGCGAGCTGAGCGCCTGCGCCGCCGCCGTGTTCATACTGGCCGCGGTGAAGGCGCCCCACGCCGCCTCCGACATAATGCACAGCGACCTGAAGCACACAGAGCCCGACGTCAGGTGAGCCCAACGCTCCTGGGGGCCTCTATTTGCCCCGGTAAACCAATAACCCGACCCGAATTATAACATTGATTCCGCGAGCACCTCGCACGGGTCGTTAAGTGCGAAAATCACTGTAACTATCTGAGATGTTGAAAAAGTATTTGTTTATTAAAATATCTATAGAATAATTTTTTCGGATCGGGGTGTTTGTCCCCAATGAGCCAAGAAAAATATTTTTTTGGGAACGCGTTGGAAAACTGTATTAACACATTCCCGGAAACCCTTCGAGTAGAACAACTAAAGGATCTGGGTGTTTGTTCCCACGAATAGTAAGTAGTTAGTATTATGATGACTCCGATAGTTTCAGTCCTCGCATCGTTTGCAGAATCAACGCGATCCTGCGTTTTCAAGTGATATGGAAACTCCGCTATCAAGTGTGGCCGCGTATGGAGGAGGGCGCTTCGATGACGTTCAAAGTGCCTCCCCCGGGCATAGAGTTCACGCTCCCTTCGCCGAAGATCGGCATCGAGTCTTTGGCCGTCGTGGACCCGCCTTGGAGTCCACAGGTCAAGGACAAGGACATGGAAATGACGCTAAATCAAGAGAGACACGTAAGGCACTTAAAATATTAATTAAATATATTAAAATTATAATATTTCATATGTTTTAAACTGATGAACCCGATTGTATTTTGAGGAACGGATTTTATCACCTTTAATATAAATTCTCAGACTCACAGTAACGTGATGCGGTGTTCGAAAAATATGGACTTATCTCCTTTCTTAAATCTCACATATTGGCTTAGATTTCAAGGTATAATAACTAACGCAACATTACTTAGCTGCAAAAGATTAATTGTCAGTACACTATGCAATTTAAACTATCCAACGGATTTTATCGCGTAGCCAAGCCACCCTATAACTGCGAACGATATAAACCGTCCGTCACTTTGGAAATTTAAGAATAAAGTTAATCAGTTTAACTCTGTAACTTTGAGAGTCTAAGTGCACGGCCACTGCCGTCGCCAGCGCTCCCTGGTGACCGCCACGAAGACCCGCAAGAAGCAGCAGACGGAGGCGATCAAGAGGGCGCTGCAGCAGCGCAACGACAAGAAGAAAGCGGAGCGCGAGAGCTTCCTCATCACCACCATCCCCATCACCAGGCAGGCGGCCCGCGAGCCCGCGCTCGACCACGCCGCCGATGACCACGTCGAACGTGAGCCACCTACAGCCACCTATTTTCCTTCTCCGATTTAAGCGTACGACCACGTTGCCCATCCACACCGAATACTAACGCCCTGTTGACACTATAATCTAATCTTTTTTAACTTAAGCGCTTGACCACGTCGAACGTGACTCCCTCGTGCACACTTATTTTTCCTTCTCCAATTTAAGCGTATGCAAAGTGCCCACGACCACACCGAATACGAACGGCCTGTTGACACTTTCTGATCTTCTTTAACTTTAGCATTTTTATGTGTTTCGTTTGATTCGTAAATAATTAGCACTTGTTCAACTTATTCTTAAAGGGGTTACGATTAGAGAGACGTATAATGAGCAAATCTCATCGCCGTTATTACCTGCCACAAAATTTACAAATAACGAAGGCTTCTTGCCCATATTTAGAACATTAGGAAACATTAAATTTTAGTCACAATGTAAGACGCGCCCAATCATTCAGTTACTATCTTTTTTCATAATTCATTAAATCAGTTCAAATTTTATCTCGGAAGTTACGTGTTGCGTACACCTCGAAAAAACCTTAACGCAGTTGCTTACAAGTGTTACACGAACCGCCCATATGAGGAAGGTGTAATTCCTCAGCGCCCGCTGACGAGGAACCGATGGAGGGCGTCCGAGGGTCCCACCACACACAGGTGGCCTCCGCTCTCTTCCCTTCTGCGCTGTGCTCCGCCGTGGCGGAGATCGTGTCACTGCTTGATGACGCCGCTGTATCGCGCGAGGGGTGCTCCGTCTACGAAGTCGCCTACCAGGTGGGAATTCGGGGGAGACACAAATTCAATGCATACGCACCTCACAGAAAACCGGCGTGAAATGGAAGTGTTTTACTCGTGCGTTTCGTCTCGTGAGCGAGGCAGCCGGGGCCCACTTTATTAAAAGGTCAAGCCATCTGCATCCGTACGGGTGTTGCAAATTCCCATGGGCGGCGGTTATCACTTAACACGGAGAAACACTAGCCTGCTTGCCACTTGTTCAATAAAAAAAAATAGTAATGCTTAACCTTTAAGGGAGAAAAGAACCATCTCTCCTGCCACCAGTCGCGGCGATAGTATCTGAAAATTTTTCGATATTGTTTATTATTAAAAACTCATTTGTACATCAATTCTTAATTGTGGGTCTTGCTCAAAGCACGGACTGTATATCTATATATATATATATATGCAAAAGTTTGGCCCAAGAAGGAGATCAGTTTCCGCCGTTGCAGTGCATTTGGGGATGCCTGGTGGAGGACTCGGCGCTGTTCCTGCGGCACGTGCTGGAGCGCCTCACCAGGGACCACCAGGACGAGATGTTCAAGCTGCTGCGCCACCTCATCCGCTTCATCCCGCGCCTGCCGCAGCAAGCCGCCTTCGCGCTCTACAACTACATCATCGGCTACGTGATGTTCTACGTGCGGACGCCGCACGAGGACGGCCAGAGGCTCATCGGCGCCGCCCTCTCTATATTGTGGATGGTGAGCAACAAATATCGAACGATTTACCATCTGTTCTTTTGATGTGAATATTGAACTAGTTCCACGTGTATCCCTACTAATATTAGGTAACGCTGTGATTTGCGCTGGGATATTTCCTATGTGTTGAACATGCATACGCTTTATTTCCATTCCATAATTAATTCAAATTGGGCAAGCAATTTTAATATTGGTAAGTTCTTTAAAAATACAATAAAACGGATTTTAATAATGTTGATGTTTGCAGGTGGTGCACAGCGTTCACGGTATCATGTTTAAAGACCTTAAACAAATCCTACGTAAAGAACAATGCGATGCGTCAATTCTACTAACGGCTAACGTGCCAGCCGCGAAGAAAATTATTGTACACGGTCCGTGTAAGTATTACGTGGCTTATTGAGCGCTTAATTGAACTGTGTTAAAATTTTCAATATCATTTCATTGTAGCCGACAACGAGGGCAGCATACCGTCGCAGTTCCCAGTTCAAGAGGACACACAGTTCTGCCAGATACTAAGAGAGTCACTGGATTTCTTTAGCATTCCAGATCGACTGCACGATGAATACTTTTTGGTGGACTTCAAAACTCGTAAGTTGTTCACTTATACAGCAAGCTGTATTCTACGATTTCCTTTAATTACTATTCACTTTTTCGGTCCTTCGAGCCGGACACCTGTTAGTTAACGTTTCTTGAACAAAACACAACTACTAAAGTTTGATTGATCAATGTCCCAACCTTATTCATTCAGGTCAAATCCACAACCCTCAAAGTTACGTGCGGGACCATTACTTCTTCAAACGCTCTCAGTACCCGCAATTAGGCCTAGTACACATGGAACCCGAAGAAGCCTTCCATAAGCTACAACAACAGGAACTTCTACAGAAATTCGTGGAGATAGGGAAGGTGCTCCTGACATGGGCAATCCTTAAAAACGTTGATATGGTACGTGGAATTGCAACATTTATTACACTAGTTTTTTTTAAATTACCCGTTTTTTATAAAGACATTCAAATAACAACTTGCAGGTTGTTCAACGAGTAGTATTTCTCCATGATGAGCTGATGAAGCTGCCTTCGTTTCCTCGCAAGGCTCTGGAAGCTGATCTTGATCTATACAGCCGAGGGGAGCTGGGCTCCACCCTCCTTGGTCTGGACGTTTTGCACAAATTCATGTAAGTCGTTCAATCTAGCATCTTATTCACAATTGTTTAAATCTTATTCTTATTTTTATTTTGTTTGAAAGCAAATTCAAGTTTACTTAAAATAAAACCCCTAACACTACTTAGTTCAGCCGCCACGTAAATCGCACCGGCCCAAAGTTATATAACGAGTTATTCATTACAGAGTTCATTATATCTACAGCACTTAAGCGTTATTGTCTAATACAGGAAATAATGATGTTTTTTTGAAAGCACAAAAATTTTACATACCTATGTTCTAAAAATTTTAAATCACTATGCAAAACCATAAAGCGAAAATATTGATAGAGTTCGACAGCTTTATTTATCTATATACTTATATCCATAATCCCGCTTATCGCAATACTTAGCAGATTATTTAATATATAAATAACGTATTTCAGGTGGGTCCGCCTAATAGCGCGAATGTTCGAGGCCATGGCGGGCAACTTCACTTCTTCGAGGGACATCCACTTGTTTCTAAATGTACTAAACGGAGCCCTAATGCTGCACAGCGAGGATTCTCTTATTCTCCGATACGTTATTGCAACATATGTGAACGCAGCTTTCAACTTTAAGAGCATATTTTCCACCAACGGGTACGCAATTGGATTTTAACAGTTTACGTTGATGTCTTTATGCTATTTTGTTATAACCATTGTAATAATAAACTGTCTAAAAATAATTTGTATGCAGAATGTGTTCAAATTCAAATATCTTAATTCAATATAGAAGCATTACACTTACTTATTGATTTTCAAAAATCACTTCTACCGGTTCGGAAAAGCCACTGACCCGATAAGAACAGGCAAAAGAAACTCAGCGAGACAATTTTTTTTTAATATAGTTTGATAAAAAAAACGTGTAGGTAAAAATTATAGAGAAATGTAGAATCAACAATTCTTAATTTGAATAACTTTGTTGGTTATTCTCTTAACTTTTTTTTAAATATATAAAAATAATCCTTAAAGATTTATAATTAAATCTGTAAGATAGTACATAACCGATTTTTTGTTTTTTCAGATATCTTCTGATCATGCCAACGTTACTTCAGATTTACTCAAACTTCCAAACCAATAGACTTGTGACGACTACGATCGAGTACGCGGTAAAACAATTCTACCTTTTAAATAGAAAACCTTTCATCCTGCAAATGTTTGGCTCCGTGTCGGCCATTTTGGACACAGACGAAGAGGCAGCTTACGGCGATGCAAGCAAAGTAAGCTATTCTGCTTTAAAATCTACCAATGAGGAACTTTAATCTTTTCATATAAATTAAATCATAGATATCTGCCGGGAATCACGGAAAAACTACTGGATAGATATCAATTAATTCTTCTTAGTTTTATTTCTTAGTCCTTATTTCTATCTATTTAAAAATCCAACGAGAACGTAGCACTGTCTTTGGATATCAAACGATTGCATATTTGCAACATACCTTTGGTGCATAAACTTACAAAATAAAAATGGTAAGTCCAACCTAATTTCTCTAACGAAAAATACAAACAAAATAATGCTAAATATATAGTTCCTGCGGAGGATTTCTACTTTGGATAGATAAACCTGTAAGAGTCGAATCAAATCAAAATATATTTATTCACTAGACAGACGCTTGCGCTTTCTCATGAAACGTTAAAATTTTACGGAAAAAATATTACGTACATAAGTTAACACCTGTTCGGAAACCAGTTTCTGTTGAGAAGAAACTCAACAGTTACTTCTTTTTAAAACGATTAGTTAACAATATAATATGACAGGTATAACTCTTATTTTAGCTTACGTAGTAATTACTTACTCGTGTTTTAGATCTCGCAGTAACTAAACTATGAGATCTGGCGACTACACCCACACGGGACGAGTATTTGCATGAAATGAACAGTGCTGCTGTCTTTCTCTATTTTCTGGTTACCAATGGACTACAGCACCCTTACAAGATAAAAAATTGCATCGCCTCCTTTTCCATAATAGTTATATACATTATCTATTAGTAATCACAATTTAAAAATTATTATTTCTCTCTCTCTCTCCCTCTCTCTCTCTCTCTCTCCCTCCCTCTCTCTCTCTCTCTCCCTCTCTCTCTCTCTCCCCCTCCCTCTCTCTCTCTCTCTCCCTCTCTCTCTCCTCCCTCTCTCTCTCTCTCTCCCTCCCTCTCTCTCTTTCTCCCTCCCTCTCTCTAATAATTCTCCTTGTGCGCTCCAGCGCCCACCGGCCCCATTGGAGACCCATGCTCTACACAGTCGTCAACACAGGTCCAATCCAGCTGCCTGTTCAACCTGCTGCTGAGCCTGGAGACGCCGTCCCCCGACCCGCTGCACATCGCCGAGCTGATCAAAGAGGAGAAACCCCTGAAGCCCATCGACTTCTGCTACCGCGACGAGGACGAGATGGTCAACGTGCTGGACTGCATCAGCCTCTGCGTCATGGTCGTCTCGTACTCCGCGGAGAGCATGCGGGGCTATCAGATGCTGGTTAGTCATTCCTGTTTATGTATTGTTTTACTGTTTCCATAATGCGCATTTGAGTTATTTGCACTCGACAATCCGAGTTCAAACATTTGCACCTTTTGTGGGAATAAAAAGAAATGGTTATGCTTTATATTATAAGTCCGTTATATAGCCGGTGTATGAACATCGTGCACCATACTTTAATTTTAATTTTATATTTTATATTTTTTGTATTTCAAACTATAAATATACATACGTTTCTTTGAACCATCAGGCGACATTTTAGCGGTTTTATCGCTTGTGCTCCTAGTGCTAGAAATAGTGTCATTTCTATAACCAATTTACTTATCGGAATTTTTATATAATGGAGCATTTTTTGAACACATTGGTGATATCTGTAATGTTGATAGATTTAGGTATACAAATTAAATAGTTGAACAATATTTTTCTTCCTTTATAACTTGATGTGCGTGTTAAGCGCACTTGATGTTGCATTTTAATTTTGTTTGAAATAAGAAATTCTGTAAACTCAACTTTGTTATAAATATTTTAAAGCATACTATTCTTATAAATATTTAATTTAATAGTATACTCGTTTACATTTCATTTCAGATTATATTAGAAGCCATACTTCCGTGCTACGTGAAAAAGATCCAGTTACCCACTTATAATAAGAAGGGCAAAACGGAGAAAGAGATTATTCAACAACTAGCTATTGCCATAAAAACTCTTGTCAATAACTGCGAAGGCTTATCCAAGTAAGTTTGTTAGACAAAGACAGTGTCACTCTCTAAAATATTCCAGACATCGCATCTATGCATCAGGAGTCATAAAATTAATACGTGTTGTACCGTTACTTTTAATAATTATTAACTGCAATGAGCGAACGCGGAAACGAGGACGTGACAACCCTAAAAAGCGAACGCAGTAACGGCAGCCCTGGCCGGCAGGTCGTACAACGGGCCGTACCGCACGTCGCCCGAGCACAAGGGGTCGTCGCAGCGCGGCTGCGCGCGGCCCGCCGCCTTCGTGCCGCTCGACCTGCTCGACGACGAGTCGCACTCGCGCTACGTGAGCGAGCACGCGCGCCTGCCGCCCGCCAGCGACACAGAGGACTCGGAGGTCGGTCTCGTTCTCGCTTTCTTTCTTTTAAACTAGCTGCGGCCCGCGACTACGGCAGAAAACAGGCAGAAAGACAGATATACATAAAAATATGTCTATAAATTGTGGCCTATGTGTTATTCTGATGTATAAGCTATATTATTGTAAACTTTCATTAAAATCTATTCAGTAGTATTTGCGTGAAAGAGTAACAAACATCCATCCATACGTACAAAGTTTCGCCTTTATAATATTAGTAAGGATAAATAAATATTTTGGGACACATTTTTACACAACATTCTCTAGTCTCAAACTTAGCAACGCTTGTACTATTAGTGCTTCATAACTGATAAACGTACTTAAACATACTTTTCTTTTGTAAATAAATACATATAATATATATATAAACACCCAGACACTACAAAAACACTATATCATTACACATATTTTTCCAGTAGTGGGGATCGTACCAACACCCTCTGGCGCAGGAGGCACTGCATGCCTTATTCGTCAGATTTACCTACGCTACCCACTACGCCATTCGAGTCTTCAAGCTTTCGTTTCAGCGGGAAAAATCCTTTGCGGATTCCCTCCCACCAGATTGGGGGAGAAACAGCGCAGTGGGAGAAGGGGAAACCGGTTGCCCGTCAAAAAATCTGCGTTGCACCTGTCTCTGTCTCTGTCCAATCGGCCGGGGACACGGGAGCACGAAGACGTCATCATTCGCGTCACGTTTCCTCTAGTTCTAGGACAACCGATCTGACCACGAACGGAAACACACTATTAGAGGCCCGCCAGAAACACCCGATGGTGTGATCTTTTACGACAAAATAAATACATAGGCATTTAAAAAAATCTCTTATAAAAATATTTGCTGCCCTTTGTGGGTTTGTGTACATAAAACGATATACAGCGTGTCGTTACCATCGCGACAATAAATGAACACACATATAGGGCATAACTTTTTAAAGTTGTATTAAACATTTAAATTCTTTAAACATCAATATTTACAGAGTTATTAAATTTTCCAAAACAAAGAATTTTAGAACACCCTTACCTATAAAAGTGTAATGTAAAGTTCATTTGTCAAGGTCACAAAGCATATGAATGGGTTGAATGAATTTAAAAGAGACAAAACATACTGTTAGAAGGAGAGGCTTGTAATGCGACGCTGTGGTGGGAGTTGTATAGGATGTTACAAATTTTGTTTCTTTTTTACTTAATTAGTGTGTTTGAAAAATATTTTTTTTTAATTATGGATTTTGTTTAACGTTAATATTTTTTTATGATTATTGGCAAGTAGCGTTAGACGTGTGTTCATTTATTGTCGCGATGGTAACGACACTCTGTATATTATTATAAGCTTGTGCGCGCGGAGTACCGCCGTCCGCGCGACGTGCTGCTATCGCTGGTGGGCGAGTTCATCGGGCGCGCCAGCAGCCGGCTCCTCGACCTGAACGGCTCCAAGGGCAGCGGCGGCAGCGAGGGCAAGCCCGTAGAGCTCCTAGATTCCAAGTCGCACGCGGTGAGTCGAAACGCAGTACGCGTGTAACTGGTAGGGCCACGCAGCACTTCGTAACTTTCATAACGACTTCATAATGACTATGTAACTAACGGCCGTTCGTTGAATATAGGAACCGGGCATTAGATGCTGCACGTATGGGCAGATATGGCAGTAGACTGGCTTAAAGTGGAAGTGTTATACTTCAGCTTTCCGTTTAGTGCGTGAGGTAACCGGGGCCCACTTTATTGAAAGGTACAACGCATATTTAACTACAGGTGTTGAAAATATTATAATAAGAAGTAATAGAAACTATCACTAAAATTAAAAGAAATTAATTCCGAACAATCTGTGACGCACTTCGAGCCATTCGTACTCCGCCTTACAATAACTGTAAAAGACCAGACCAGACTTGAATATTCCATTGAAAGCAGTTAAACATTTCGTAATTCTTATTTACAATTCCTAATAGTATTATTTACATAGTTGTTCAAATTTCTAATTTCCGGTGCACAATTTTCAGCGTCTGGCGGAGATTGCGCATTCCCTTCTGAAGGTGTCCCCTTACGACCCCGAGTCTATGGGCTGTCGTGGCCTCCAGCGCTATATGACCTTAGTGCTTCCGGCCGGTGAGTGGGCGGAGATGGACTTGCGGCCCTCGCTCATAATGATATTGCGACGCCTCGACAAAGTGTTCTTGAAGATCGCCAAGAAGCCCAGCATTAGGGTGAGTTGGTTGGCATAGAAAAAATAATACTATATTTTCTTCAGAAAACGATGGTAACCCTAGCCATAAGAAAGGCAATGCAAAAGCCTTTTCTGAGAGTCATTTCATACTCATACATGAAAATAAACACTGCATGAACTAAGCCAGAATTAAATTTTATTGTTCATTTAATACTTAGAAGTAACAAAGTTATGGAATTAACTTTAATTAACTTTAACGTTTAAAATCCTTTCTAATCGTTATGTTTTTTATAGAGAAACACTGACTGGGATTCGGCGGCGGTGCTCCTGAAAGGTGTTTACGAAACTATGATCAGATGTCCTTACATTATGCACTGGCAGCAAGTAAAGACTCTTCTTAACACTGTTCAAGTGAGTATGTCTTCATTCTGTATAAATGGCATTATTTATTTAGTGCGTTCCAAATATATAAGTGATATAATAGTGTTCCTAATATAAAAGTGGGCATTGGTGGGTTTACGAACTGGGTGTTGCTCGAGTGTATACAATTATAAACGAGCGGATACTGCGCTATTGCGGGTATCCGTCTTAATTCAGTACTTATTATGTGAAAACGTGGCTAACGAGCCGGCGGTTCCCTTGATGTTAAGTGGTAACCGCCTGCCCATGGACATTTGCAACACCCGTAGGGTTGCAGATGCGCTGCCACCTCTTAATAATGCGGGCCCCGGCTACCTCACTCTCACCAGAAGAAACGCAGAAGTGCAACACTTCTACTTCACGCCGGTCTTCTGTGAGGTCGTGGTACTAACTCGGACGGACCTGCCCATTCGTGCAACAGCGAACACCGTTGCTTAATTCGTAGTCGGGAAAAATCACCTAATAATAATAATAGGTCTTTATTGGTCTAAAATCACAAATAATGTACAAGTAATTTAAAATACAATTATATTAGTCAGATTTTAGACTAAAAGGTCTGGGGTTCAGGTTTGTTACACACATTGTGCACAACACTGAAATTCTACCCCAGCGTGACATTAATATTGTGTGACAGTCGCTAATTGTGTCGGAAAACAACACCGGTGAGAACCTGTCATCGGCAACCGCCGCGCTCATGTCCCAGCCGCCGCCGCCTCACTTCTGCAGCACCGTGGTGCGCCTGATCGCCCTACAGGTCATCAACACGGGGGCAAGTAGACATTACGATACACATCGAGCCTGCTGAACGAAGCAAACACTGTACAAGGTAGTATTAGGCGCGGGTCTAGAGTTAAGTTTTTGGAGATGGGCCCAAGCGGAAGTATCTCGGAAAATGTACATCGAACATAAATGTTTATAACAATAGTAGGAAGCATTGTAAGACTTGTGTAGCTGAGAAGAAAACTATATACATTATAAAGTCATAAATTCTAATCTTCTGTCTGCCGTTTTACAAAGTCAAATTTTTTCTAAGAATCTCATTCGACATAAAAAAATTTAAAAAAAAGCTACTATTTGAAACGATCACATCTTAAAAATAATAGACTTGATTGTTACGAGTGCCACTAAAATATAATGCCCCCAATCCTGCTTAAGAAAACAACTGTTTACTTTAAAAGTTTTACACGCCTTAGTAGTAGTCCTGAAATTAACATAACAAATTTACACATACATAGTATTTGTCTCTTGCAATAATGTTCGAAATTCCTTCTGAGCTCAAACCTCTGTATACCTTACCTTGTCTTACATTCGGTGCTTTTTGTTCTATGTGGTATTTAGCGCACGGTTGACCAATTAAAATCATACTAACCCATTCTAGTAATGTTACATGTAATGAGCGTGTTTTTGTATTAAAATAGAACCTGTAATGATCTTATTTCGATATTTACTTTGTTATTATTTATTGTTATTAACGCTCAACTTTCACATTTCAGGATAGCTATTCTTTAGAGCAAATGTGCGGTGGGACTGCAATATTCCCATCAGCTGAAAAAACAGAAAACATGCTGATGAACCTTTTGATGCCTCTTTGTTTGCGGGTTGGCAGCGGCAGGAAGGGTATGTGAAAAGTTACTAATTATGTTTATATTACTTCCTATATACAGAGAGGCTTTTTTAAGTGTATCCATTGTTTTTTATTAAATTCTACACATAAATAATGTTATATAAAAAATGATAAATATTCAAAATCACTCGTAATTAATTAAATACATTGATTTAAACTTATCTCAAAAAGTGCGTGATTTATGGGAAACTCATTTATTTTACGCAAGATCATTCATAAGTAATTCACGCACACGAGTTCGTTTCAAAAGTATACGACGCATTTATGAATGACTACCGCATTGTCTACAAGTTCTGTTTTTTAGGGAATGGAATGGCAATTTTTTGAAAAAAAAGTTTGTTTTTATTTCAATAAACGATTATGCTACCGAGTACCTTCTGTGTAAATTTAGGCACCTTTAGAAAAGCCACCCTGTATAGGCCCCGCAAAGCTCAAAGGCGATATTTTTTCGAAACACAACCGAGTTCTGCTGTCGACGCTCTAGCGTTCCGAGTGTCCGAGCCTTTAGTCTAATGTTTGTCCGCCAGCGAATTTTCTAGAACGTTCCAGCTGCACCGCGTAAACGTGAATGCGAGTGTTCTATAATATTCCAGCCGCACCGCGTAAACGAAAGCGCGAGTGTTATAGAACTATCCAGTCGCACCGCGTAAATGAGAGCGCGAATTTTCTAGAACGTTCCTGTCGCACTCAAAGTAAACGAGAGCGCGAGCGTTCTAGAACGCTCCAGTCGCACCGCGTAAGCGAGAGCGCGAGCGTTCTAGAACGTTCCAGTCGCACCGCGTAAGCGAGAGCGCGAGCGTTCTAGAACGTTCCAGTCGCACCGCGTAAGCGAGAGCGCGAGCGTTCTAGAACGCTCCAGTCGCACCGCGTAAGCGAGAGCGCGAGCGTTCTAGAACGTTCCAGTCGCACCGCGTAAGCGAGAGCGCGAGCGTTCTAGAACGTTCCAGTCGCACTGCAAGTAAACGAGGGCGCGCGGTTGCAGACGTGCCGCCGCTGCGCCAGTCGGACGTGTCGTACGTGGTGTCGGTGGTGCTGAGCGCGCTGTGCCCGCCCGCGGCGCCCGGCCAGCTGGCCGCGGTCAACGCCAAGCTGAACGCGGCCGACGCGCGCGCCAACTCGCTCACCTTCACCGGCAGCCGCGACATCCGCAACACCACCCGCCTCTCCAACCAGCTCTACCGGATCGCCTTCCTCGGTGGCCGCGACTTTATGCTCGACTTTTAACACGCCGCATGTCGACATGCGCGCGTGCACATGCTGACATGCGAGGCGTTTGTCTTCGGCTGCTTAGTCTTACATCGCCTAGTGAAGTTAAGAGTTATGTTTATATGTCTTGCGACTTCAAGCGCCATGCCTCTAGTATCGCTGCCTTCGAGGGATACCCAATGCGACAAAGATAACGACTTTAATCTATATTAATTATTCTTAACTCACTAATAACTTGATACTACGAAAATGTGAACCTATAAAGTGTTGGTTCATTCGATCTAGGATTGAAATATGTTGATGCACCCTTTGTTCGCAGCGCCATCTAAATTTGGAAATCTGCTGATGAGTTATAAAATGTTTTGATTAATCGGCACCTCAAGTTACATATAAAAGATTTGAATTAAAGTTAATTCGACTGAAACTAGATTCTAACTTCATTATTAACACTACTACTTAGCGCACTCACTAACATGAACCTTTGCGTGTAGCGCTGAAGGTGATGTGCGCTTGCTTCACGAGCGAGCTTTGCTCCGAGTGGGGCCGGATCGCGCGCGCTATGCGGGAACTCGGCCGCCGGAACGAAGCGGCTCACCATCTCTGGGACTTCCTGGAACACGTGGTCACCTACCGCACGCCGCTCTACGTGCTACTGCAGCCCTTCATAGTCCACAAGGTACCCTGAATTGATCTAATTTGCATCGGTCAAGTAACTTCTTGTTCTTTAGCTAGAAAATTGTAATTGCTTTAGAGTCCTACACTCTAGAGTAGTATCCTGTATCACAATCATCGAACAATTAAAAACGTGGGACTTGTCTTAGTCTACCGATTTTGCATTAAAATACTTCCCACCGCTAAGCAAAGGACCTGCGGGCATAAAGAAATGACCCTCGACGTTAGTTCTGAGCTCGGCAAATACTGGAACGTTAATTTATATATAGACCGGCTAACAAGTTGAGCAAAAAGTAGCGTAGTTGGGGGAAAGTTTACTTATGTCCATTATTGTGCAAACAATTGCGTTGGCTCGCGACGGTGCACCAAAAGGTACCGATTAATCAACAAATGCGAGTTCAGATGCATTTTTGGCATATCACTATACTTTTCGCGTCCTTATTTGATTTGGCGGGCAACTATCGAGACCGTGTCGACACGTAAGCACGGTGCCAACAACGATTTGGCGGGCAACTATCGCGACCGTGTCGACACGTAAGCACGATGCCAACAACGATTTGGCGGGCAACTATCGCGACCGTGTCGACACGTAAGCACGGTGCCAACAACGATTTGGCGGGCAACTATCGCGACCGTGTCGACACGTAAGCACGGTGCAAACAACGATTTGGCGGGCAAATATCGCGACCGTGTCGACACGATAGCCCGGTGCAAAGAACGATTTGGCGGGCAACTATCGCGGACGTGTCGACATAGCATAGTGCAAAGGTCGCTTTTGCGGGGCAGCTATCGCAGCCGCCGATCGGCGACCACGAGCGGCACATGCAGTTCGTGGTGCGCGAGCGCGTGCGCGGCCTCAAGCTGCCGGCGGGGCGCGCCCGCGGCGCCCTCCTGGCCGAGTTGGCGCGCGAGCTGCGCACCATGCGGGACACGCACGACCACTACAAGTTCGGTAAGGGGATTGCCGAGTCGTTTATCTCAGGTTATCCTACTTTAGGGAGTGGCGCGTCTGAGAAACGGGCTCAGAGTGTATTGCTGAATTTTTTTTTTTTTTTTTTTTTGTTTAATTATGTTTAAAAAAAATTGTCCCTCTGAGTCTCTTTCGCCGGTTCTTCTCAGGTCAGTGGTTTTTTTCCAAAACGGTAGTAGTGTTTTTTGACAATTAATAAATAGGTGTAATACTTCTATATTGAATAAATGATGTTTGAATTTGACGTGTCACAAGGTCCACCACAAGACCCCACTGCGGATCGGCGTAATTCACACGTTTCCAAGTTTTTTCTTTATTATTATTTCTATAATATGCCCGTTTCCTCACGATGTTTTTCCTTCACCGCTGAGCATATGATAAATCAGCAATTAAAATTAACTATTTCATTTGCCAGAACCGTGACTTAATCTCGGGTCGATCGAGTATCTAATCTATCACGGCTCAATCGATAACGTGTTACTTCAAAAATTTTACATCAAAGATAAACAAGTAAAACAACTCACTCCCCATATCCTGGTAGCCTATAAGTAAAACGAGAGTTGTTGGTAAACATCAACGTCGCTATTCGTTCACCTCAGAGCAGATAGCCGAGAGCCTGGGCGCGGCGGGCGGCAAGCGCGCGTCGGAGGCGGTGCCGCGCGGCGACAAGCAGCAGCAGCACCGGCCCTCGCTCATCTCCATGCTGGTGGGGCGCGCCGGCCTGCCGCGCACGCCCGACCACCCGGCCGCGCCGCTCGCCGCACAGCGCGGTACGCGAGCGCCTCGCCGGCAGACCGGACTGCGTCGCCCGCTGTACCTGCACATTGAGCCAACGCTCTCTGTCTACAGAAACAACGAAACTCTTCGCTCACTCTACCTGTTAAATCAGACACAGTCACAAAACGAGCAAAACGCCTTGCATCTGCGAAAATAGCGACGTCGTTCACTGTATATGTCCGCTCAGACACGGTCACAAAATGAGTCGAACCCAAAAAAAATACAACGAAACCTCGCTCACTCTACACACAGTCACAAAACAAGCAAACGCCTTGCATCTACGAAAATAGCGACGTCGTTCACTGTATATGTCCGCTCAGACACGGTCACAAAATGAGTCGAACCCAAAAAAAATACAACGAAACCTCGCTCACTCTACACACAGTCACAAAACAAGCAAACGCCTTGCATCTACGAAAAATAGCGACGTCGTTCACTGTATATGTCCGCTCAGACACGGTCACAAAATGAGTCGAACCCAAAAAAAATACAACGAAACCTCGCTCACTCTACACACAGTCACAAAACAAGCAAACGCCTTGCATCTACGAAAATAGCGACGTCTTTCACTGTATATGTCCGCTCAGACACGGTCACAAAATGAGTCGAACCCAAAAAAAAATACAACGAAACCTCGCTCACTCTACACACAGTCACAAAACAAGCAAACGCCTTGCATCTGCGAAAATAGCGACGTCGTTCACTGTATATGTCCGCTCAGACACGGTCACAAAATGAGTCGAACCCAAAAAAAATACAACGAAACCTCGCTCACTCTACACACAGTCACAAAACAAGCAAACGCCTTGCATCTACGAAAATAGCGACGTCGTGCACTGTATATGTCCGCTCAGACACGGTCACAAAATGAGTCGAACCCAAAAAAAATACAACGAAACCTCGCTCACTCTACACACAGTCACAAAACAAGCAAACGCCTGCATCTGCGAAAATAGCGACGTCGTTCACTGTATATGTCCGCTCAGACACGGTCACAAAATGAGTCGAACCCAAAAAAAATACAACGAAACCTCGCTCACTCTACACACAGTCACAAAACAAGCAAACGCCTTGCATCTACGAAAATAGCGACGTCGTGCACTGTATATGTCCGCTCAGACACGGTCACAAAATGAGTCGAACCCAAAAAAAATACAACGAAACCTCGCTCACTCTACACACAGTCACAAAACAAGCAAAACGCCTTGCATCTACGAAAATAGCGACGTCGTTCACTGTATATGTCCGCTCAGACACGGTCACAAAATGAGTCGAACCCAAAAAAAATACAACGAAACCTCGCTCACTCTACACACAGTCACAAAAACAAGCAAACGCCTTGCATCTGCGAAAATAGCGACGTCGTTCACTGTATATGTCCGCTCAGACACGGTCACAAAATGAGTCGAACCCAAAAAAAAATACAACGAAACCTCGCTCACTCTACACACAGTCACAAAACAAGCAAACGCCTTGCATCTACGAAAATAGCGACGTCGTGCACTGTATATGTCCGCTCAGCATCGACATCGCCACTTGTAACACGCCGCTCAATGTACCCACAACACAGCGCCAGCACTAGTAACTTGCACCTCGTCATTCAGTGTACCACGAACGTTGAACTTTCGCGCCGAAATCACTGCTAGTCGCATCCAACCCCAAGTGGCTTACTGTACCTGCAGTAACATCGTTACTATCAGCTAGAACATTACTTTTTATATAGGAGCCAGCTGAATAGACGCGCATACTGTATCCCAATACGTCTTGTACCGTCATTATCAGCTTCATCAGTGTGAAAACGTACCATTGGATCCCGCTAGAAGTGCTGATCACGCTCATGGCAGCCACGACCATTCTCCGAATTACTTTGAATATTTCAGAATCGCTGTCAAGTAGCTCCACGACCAGCCAGCAGCTGCCGGCTTACGACGTACCGAGTAGTAACAGCCGAAACAGCGACAACGCAGGCAGTGTTAACTCGCAAATTGGTAATTATTTTTTCTCAAGTTTTTTTAGAGATACGCAGCAGCATCTTGTTGCACGAATGGGCGTGGCTAGTCTGAGTACCACGGCCTCAGAATAGACCGTGTGAGGTGGAAGTATATTATGTTTACGAGTTTCGTCTAGTGAGTGAGGTAGGCGGGACCCACTTTTTATGTTGGCAACATATCTGCAACCCGCCAGGTATAATAGAAGTCCATCGAAGGCGGTATAGTCACTTAACATCAAGTGAACTGCCTGTTCGCTTATCAACGTTTCGCTTTAAATAAGGCATCAGCATCCTACCCACATTTATTACGTTTTTAACGCCTTCCTCTTGCAGAGTTAGGCAGAGACGACTAATTTCCATGATGATAACGATTTGGGCATTCTGACTTAGATAATACGCACGTCGCGTATCTAAACGTATCTTAAACCAGTCTAGAGTAATATGAAATATGTTTAAAATCTATTTAACTCAATCGGTGTTGCAGTTGGTCTATAAATTTACCGACAAAATATCATATTGGGGTCTGAGGTCTTTAACGTTAACCAAATCTTTGCGATTTCGTTAAAAAGTTTGTTAAAATAATTATCTGTAGTATTGAACTCCCTTAATATATACCAAACCAACATATTATATACCGAAAACCTCTGATAGGAGAAGATAAAATTAATGAATTTTGGCGATTTAACCAAATCACCGTTACAGGCGCAATGAACAATCATGGAGGTGACCAGAAACCGTCAGTAAGCACGCCGTCTTTCGCAAGCACTCAGACCAAGTTGCGCTTTGTGTCGTCTGTGGAGTTTAAGCTAAATTCAGGTAACTTGGCAAGAAGTCAGCCAATCCGGAGTGGTCACGTGGTAGATAATCCCCTAATACCTCACTGAGATTAATTCACAGAACCCCCATAACTTAACTGTGATAGGGCCACGCAGCAGTCTTTGCTATTACACGAATGGACGGTCCGTTCGGATAGGTACCATGGCAAAGGCGTTTGCCCAGTAGTGGGACATGTATAAGCTGTAACATTGCATCACATGTGAAGTCAGCCGATGCGTAGTGTGGTCGCGTGGTGGTCTACGCCCTAATACCTCCGCCCAGCATAGGCGGTCACTTCACTCTTAAAATAACGACGGCGTCGCCATTAGCTGTTACAAGATCAAGATGTTCCAAGTCCGGTGTGAGAATGTAACCTCAGGCGAGACGTGCACGACGCCGCTGTCGCCGCTGTCGCCGTGCGAGGTGTCGTGCGAGGAAGGGGACGAGCCGAGGCCGCGGCTGCAGCGCGCGCACGGCCCCTCCAAGAAGACCTTCAAGTTCCGCCGCAGCCGCCACGCCACCAAGCCGGAGGTGAGTGGAGGTCCTTCGAAACTAAATGTAACAATTGAAACTTTTAAATTACTCTTCCTCACTGAGACTGTCTTCGGGGATATAATTTTCAATAATTGTAGAATTATTTATCATTTGTATTAGCATCCGATTGAAACAGTATTTTCGGCAGGAACCGAAATTTGTTTAGTCACGTCAAAACTTCTATTTTATGAACTTGATTTAAAAAAATACACATAATTATATAGGATATGTATAAGGTTATGCTATCGCAACCGAAATATACTTATTGGTTATGTAGTATTCAAAATAAGTAGAAACTATCATATTGTGTTATGACTTGCTACTACTTTTATACTACTTTTATATGTAATATATACTATCCAATGTTGGTAGCGTAGCAGTACCAAGTCAGTAAAATCAATTACCACCGCTTAGACCTTACCTATTTGATCTTTAACGGCCTACATATCAACGTGTCGGAAACAATCATCCGGGATCTTTTGAAATCCAATCTGTGAGATTATGTGACACCATGTGTCCCACCAAAGTGGGACCGTGCGAGATCGCGCGAGAGCACATTGGTACATGCGAGATCCACAATCGCCACGCGTTAATCGGCTGCAGCGCGCCCTCGTCGGGCGCCTGGAGTCGGACGAGTGCTCGTCGTGCGGCGCCGAGGGCAGCCCGCCGTGGCGGCGCGCCTCCCTCCTGCCGCCGCCGGCGCCCGCCGACACCTCCTACGACAGCGAGATCTCGCAGACCTCCTCCACCTCCGGCTACAGGCGAGCACACGCACACACCTTTGCACCGAACACGCACACTTCTCTCATGCTGAGCGAACTGGCCAGCTCGAGCTAGGAAGTTCCACGAACGACCTAACGCGATAAAATCTATAATCTAACTCTGCTATCTTATACCTGGGGTAGGGCCACGAAACAGTGTTCTCTGTTGCACGAATGGGCAGCTCCGTCCGGGTTAGTACCGCGACCTCACAGAAGACCGGCGTGAAGTAGAAGTGTTGCACTTCTGCGTTTCGTCTGTGGATGAGGTAGCCGGGACCCACTTTATTAATAGGTAGCAACGCATCTCCAACCTTAAGGGTGTTACAAATATCAATGGGCGGTAGTTATCACCAGCTCGCCACCGCCACCTCGCTGCCACCTTCTCACATAAAAAGAAAATGTTTTACCGTTATCAATTAATTGCATTAAATATCTTTCACAAACATAGAGCACTGGCGCATGACGTAAAACTTTTGGTTAGTTTTAATTTTGTTACGCTATAGCAAACATAACCTGTTCCGTGCGTACGTAAGTACACTAAACTCGTTTTTGTCCACTCGGCAGGGAGAGCTACAGCCTGCAAGCGTCGATGTCCGACTCGCCGGGCGGCTCGGTGCGCGCGGCGCTCGCCTCGCCGGAGCAGCCCTCGCAGCGCACCGGCTCGGTGACGCCGCACGCCAGCCCCGACGGTAATCGACCCTTCGTATGTACCAAAAGTTATACAGCAAAGGTACCGCTGCCGACTCTTCTCTTCTCTTCTGTCCCTCTCCTCTGACTCTGGTCTCTCACTCTGGTCTCCGTGTTTTTAATTTAACTCTTGGTTGTGCTTGCATGTTGGTCCTTTTTGCCCGATTGTTAGAACATGGTGTTACATAAAATATTGTTCTACACTTGAAATAAAAAAAACAGGCCAAGTGCGAGTCGGACTCGCGCACGAAGGTTTGCGTACGATTATCTATAAAACGGTAAAAATATCATGTCTGTATGGGAGCCCCACTTATATATATTTTTTGCTGTTTTTCAGTATTTGTTGTTATAGCGACAACAGAAATACATTATCTGTGAAAATATCAATTGTCTAACTATTACGGTTCATGAAATACAGACTGGTGACTGACAGACAGACAGACGAAGTAATAGGGTCGCGTTGTATTCTTTAGGTACGGAACCCTAAAAATCAAATTCATTTTTTTATATGTTTCTCTTCCTTTTCGGGGTAACACATTTTAGTAGCGACAAGCCATATTGAAGTATTTGTAGACAATTATATTAGCTATCACGTCTAAACCATGAATGATATTATTCTTTATTGACATTGTAAAAGCGTAAACTTAAAATGTGCCTAAATAAACTTAAAAGTAAGAAAGTCTTGGTAACTTTTTACCAACTTTTATATTATATTTCCCAATTCGCAGTTTACATTGCATAATTTAAAAAAGAAATATTTGGCATGATTCATCTCAGTCTTGGACTATTTATGTGTACTTATACTCATTATAATACTTTAATCTTACAATAATTCTTCCCGCTCTTTCACAGCACGTGCTTCGTTATTACTGTACATTCATAATACAGTGATTTATTATAACTACTATATTGTTTTCAGCATCTTTAAGTTGCGAATCGGGAACATCGTCAGCGGAGCGTACGGCCTTGTTGGGCGCAGCCAGCCAACGCTCACTCTTACTAAGCAGCGAGCTTCGCGACGAAGACACTTTGCTATAAGGCCATATCCAACAAGCCTACTAGTCTTTCACAAATATGTTTTACCAATAGAAACCGATTATTAAATGTTAGACGTGTGATTGTTTTAAATACTGTAGAGATACGTACTCATTAAATGTCATTAATTGGAACTATTTTTACGGATTTAGCGCGTTTATTGAATATAAATTTTCGGCGTTTCGAATACTTTCCAGCATTCAACGTCATGGTGCAGATCGAGGCGTTAGACCTCCTTATCTCATTAACTCTAGCTACCGCCAATTATTTAAGAGTATTAATTATTTTTTAAATATTATTAATAAAAATTATTTTTTGTCAATGTGTAGTACACATTTACGTAAATATAAAAAATTAGTATCCTATTCAATGTTGGGAATAAACATAAATATTAATTTTGCTTATTTTTATTACTAATAGTTATTATTGCTAATTTCTCTTCACAAATACCAAAATTTTTAAATTTAATATAAAACTGAGTAAAAAAAATTTCTCATTAAAATATCACCTATTTCACCTCTAATTTATCGAAAAAAAGTAACCAGTGATGTAGGTACAATCAGTAGTGTAAGTTTGTGGAACTGAAGAGACTAATCCCGAATAACATATATATATAACATAATAAATAATGCAACAGTTCACATTTTATAAATTTTAATGATAATAATACAAATTGGAAATAAACTGTAAAAAGTTTGTTATAATAATCTACACTATGGAACTAATATTTACGCCATTTGCTTCAGCCGCCTTAGTTGCCAATTTGGCGCTAGGGCTTTTCACCCAATGGATCTAAGTCAAGTTCTTGTCAAAAAAAATAAAAAAACAAAAGAAACCACCTTAGGACTCTAAAGATGTAGAAACATTGATGAAAACAAAGTAGGTTTAAATCTTGAGTAGGTAGAAGATTCTGTAGCTTCAAAAAATATTGTTTCGAGGAAATTAACGGTGCGAACAATGATGTTTTAATGAAGATGACGCATGTCCATACCATAAACATAATGGTTTTATAACCACTACGTTTATGGCATGGACATATAACCACTGGTTATATTCTCTTAGGTCCATACTGCGCGGCGTTTAAAAATTAATCCGCTTTTTCATTATACATATATAACATAATATATAAATGAATTTGGCAGATGATATAGAACTTATGATACGGAAAGAGATGGCAGTCAATATTTAATGATTTGCATTTAAAGAACAGAAGGCTCACATCAATAGAATGAACACGATTTTGTGACTTTAAACATTTAACTTTTTCGGGCGTACGTAGTTATATATTTGTCTTCTCGTTTGAAATGTGCACGTTTAACTACGATTTGAAGGCATCTAGTCACGCTCACTTCTTTCAGATCAAACTGTATGTCTCGATAGCTCATCACTTAGAATCTGCAAACATTTAATAGTACTGCACTTAGTTTATAGAAATGTATAGAGCAGCAGATATATTTTTGTCATTCCAAAGTCAAACTTTGAAATCAAAAAATAGAAGTTGACAAATACCCAGGGGTACTTTGACCAACCGACAAGGGATTTACTTGATAAAAATCATTGCTAATACTTCTGAAAATTAAAATTTTGTCAAAACTGCTTAGAATCAAATCAAACAAAATTATGTCCGAATATCATGTCCTATATTTTAAAACATTCATTTTACAGTTACATACAGGGCGCTGTAAATTGTGTTTCCTTCTAACTTATTCATTTATGAAACATGGTATCTAGGTGATATTTAATCACTTTTAAGTAAGAAAATATAAATTTTTACCTGCTAACGTGTAGTATGTATACGAAACTGATTTGTCCTTCCTTATTTTTGAAGCATAGTTTTTAAACTTTCTGAATATAAAACTTATATGTATATTAGGAATTATGGTTTACAGTAGTGACTAGGCAAAATCTCGGAATGCGGCAGACGGCAGTTAGTCCAATTTAAAAGAAGACAGAAGTTTGTTCGTTTACCGCAAAGAAGAAACCCTTTGTCGTGTTTTCTTTTTTGAAGGCACTTCCCTTGTTACCACTGACTACACACACGGAATGAAGTTGGCATATCGAACAGCGTTCAATTTTGCGACCATTTGAAAGAGAAAGCCAAACTGGCTTCTAAAAGTGGCCTTCCCATCGCAGATTCGGCCGCACATAGAGTATTGTTCTCATCTCTGAGCTGGGGCGCTGCAATACTACCTCCCTCCATTTGATCGCATGAAACGTAGGGCTGCTCAAATCGTCGGCGACCAAGTCCATTCAAATAGCTTCGACTCTTTGGCCTTGCAAATACGTATCTTTACATTTTTATAGAAACTGTGATGGGAGGTGCTCTGGGGTTGTTGTTCAGATTAATATGGTTGGCGTCCACAACTGTGCTTATTTCACGTAATTTTCTGCTTGCACGACCAAGTTGTGGAATCTTTTATCGCCAGCGACCGATACGACTGAGGGAACTTCAAGAAGAGAGCCTCTTCATCCCACAAGGGCGGCAACGCATTTGAGGCTCCGTTGACGTTGCAAGTGTCCATGGGCGGCGGTGAACACTTACCCTCAGGTGGCCTCTGATCACAGACGACGGATGAACACGGAATGGAATGGTTGTTCCCAGAATAATAAAAAAGAGCGGTAATCCTCTAATACTGGTCTTAGAGGATTACCGCTCTCTCTCTACCGCCGTTACCCGACGACAAAATGTATAATAATGTCGACAAAACAAGTTTCCACGAAAAAATTTACAATAAAGAAATATATCTCCATAAAAATGGCAGCAAACTATCAGAACCATTTTCAGTATACAGCGTGTCGTTACCATCGCGACAATAAATGAACACACGTCTAACGCTACTTGCCAATAATCATAAAAAAATATTAACGTTAAACTAAATCCATAATTAAAAAAATATATTTTTCAAACAAACTAACTAAAAAAGAAACAAAATTTGTAACATCCTATACAACTCGCGCCACAGCGTCGCATTACAAGCTTCTCCGTCTAACAGTAGGTTTTGTCTCTTTTAAATTCATTCAACCCATTCATATGCTTTGTGACCTTTACAAATGAACTTTACGTTACGCTTTTATAGGTAAATTTAATAACTCTGTAAATATTGATGTTTAAAGAATTTAAATGTTTAATACAACTTTAAAAAGTTATCTCCTATTATGTGTGTTCATTTATTGTCGCGGTATATGTATCATCATATATGTATCATTTTTACGGTGGTAGGGCCACGCAGCAACCTCGGCTGTTGCACGAATGGGCAGGCTCGTCCGGGTAAGTACCACGACCTCACAGAAAACCGGCGTAAAGTGGAAGTACAATACTTTCGCGTTTCGTCTGGTGAGTGAGGTGGCCCGAGCCTAATTTTCAAAAGATTGTCAATGCATCTGGAACCCTAGGGTGTAGCAGATGTCCATGGGCTGCGGTATTCACTTAACATCAGGTGAACCTTCTGCTCGCTAGACAAATTTTCATATAAAAAAAAATCATCTATAATCAGAACACCAGAAAAAAGCGTTAATTTTCTTTGTACTGCTGTAAATGTTTCTGGGTTAAAAAAAAGCTCTGGTAACTTGAAGTTTGAACCAGTGCTCCACTAGGACATACTTTTTTAGGACTTTTGTCATTTATGTTTTGAAATTTTAATAATTAACACTCATTTTTTTTATTTACATAATTCGTAACAAAAAAAAATGTATTTCGAAAATATGTGAAGTCCGCCAATCCGCAGTGGGGCCGCGTGGTGGACTATGCCCTGATACCCTCTGTATAGAGGAGGCCTTTGCCCAGCAGTGGGACATGTATAGGCTGTTACTTTACTTTTTTTTTACATAATTCGTGTTATTTTGCTATCAATATTTATTGTTTTACTTTTTACTATCCCGAATAATTTGCACTATTTATTAGACAAAAGTATTAAAACATTTTTTACACTTAATTATTTCAATACATTTTTTGACATGACAACCTGGTGCGGGGCAAATAAAATTTAATTTTTTTAAAATAATTTGTAATAAAATATTATAGCATATAAAAAATTAAAGCATGTCAAATTCGGAGAAAAATTCAGAATCAACACTTATTAGTTCTAATTATTTAACTTCTTTAACAAAAAATATATATTTGTGTGTACTTAATATTTTTGATGCATTGGCCAATTTGATTCTAAAATCTGATTTTCACATTTTAATTGAGTTGAGAATTGGTAAACATACATTGAGCTATATTGATAGGTATTGAGATTGACCCCCAAATAATTGATCCACCTCTCCTTTTTCACACTGTATTGTGTTAACTCAAGCTAGAAAGAGTTTATTACTTCAAGATTTAATATTTTGTCATTTACAAATTACAGCCATATAAGAAATTAAACATTACATTTCAATTTTCAACAGAATATATTTATCAGGGTTCCTTACATAAGAGAAAAGGTTGTATTGCCACTTGAATGTCATGTTCTAAAGGTATTTCATGAATATACTTTGAAAATGTAATCACAATCTTGTACAAACTTCTCTTGATAGATGATATAAGAGCTGTTCTCAGCTTAATGGCATACCCATCATTAATATAATGCTTTCGAGGAACAAGACCCGGTTTTGTTAGTTTATCCAAATTCTGTTTTAAATTTATCAATGATGTTATCACTGCAGGTAAATCACTTTGTACAATGCCATACTTATCTTCAGTGATTGACGCTGCTACTATTGTGGCCAAACCTTCACATGTCCAAATGACTGGCTGCGACTGAATTAATGAAAATTTTAGCCTTGTATCTGTCAGCTCTCCAAAGAAATAACTTATACCTGGTTTCTGGCAAAGTTTCTGAATAAAATTATTAAATTCTTGCCTCACTGCATTATTAAATGTATTGTCAATTTTATTCTTATTGTGGTCTTTCAGTTCAAAAAGTTGTGGTGATTGTGCCATATTTCTTAAAGAACTTGAATATGTTGATGAGTTGAGTGATGGGATATTTGTAACTCTGCTTTTCATTTGCACATTA